GTAACAAAGGAACAACATCGAATGCAGAATCAAAGCTCGTGATTGGAGGTAAGAATTTACGAAGAACAGGGAAATTCAAACTTTAAAAAAGAAAAAAATTATTCTCCAATGGTATTTTAATTTCCCATTTATTTTATTTTATTTTATTTTCCATAAATCAAGTAAGTGCATGAAATGTACAGAGTAGTAAAAGAAAGAGAGAGAGCTCTTTGTTGGTAATGGTAATGGTAATGGTCAACATCAGAAACTAATAGTTGTTTCTTTTCTCTTCTTTTGTAAAGATTTTGATTTCAAAGAAGAAGAAAATGAGCCAGAGACGGAACCTCCATAGAACTTCATGAACAGCAGTTTCACATTACCAATGGAAGCTCAAAGAAGTGTCCTACCAATCTTCTTGCTTGCTTTAATCTTGTTCTTGATCCAGTGCGGGCTAGCTCAGAAAGTTTCGATAAGTTCTCCCATCGAACGGCGGGCATTGCTCGATCTCCGGTCGTCATTAGGTCTCCGAGCCAGAGAATGGCCCCTCAAGGCCGACCCTTGCACATCGTGGCTCGGCGTCCATTGCCAAAACGGCACCGTCTTGAACATCACTGTTTCCGGTTTAAGAAGAACCCGACTTGGACGACTCAATCCCCAGTTCCATGTAGATTCTTTGGTTAATTTGACCCGGTTAGTTTCCTTCAATGCTTCTGGGTTACCGCTTCCGGGGTCAATACCGGATTGGTTCGGAAACCAGTTGGTTACTCTCGAGGTTCTTGATCTCCGGACATGCAATGTCTCTGGTTCAATCCCGGGTTCACTCGGTAACTTGAGTCGACTCACTTCTTTGTATCTTTCTAATAATGATCTTGCTGGTTCAATTCCTGCTGCATTGGGACAGTTAAGGAATTTAAAAATTCTTGATCTTTCGAATAATTCGCTTACTGGTTCAATTCCTCCTAGTTTTGGCTTTCTTATTGAAAGGCTTGAACTTGCTTCAAATTACTTATCTGGGTCAATTCCACCTGGTTTAAGTTCTTTACAAGGTCTTCAAGTGTTGAATGTCTCGGATAATAATCTTTCTGGATCAATTCCTGTTCAGTTTGGTAATCTTTCAAGGTTGGTTGAGCTTGATCTTAGTAAGAATTCTTTTTACGGGTCGTTGCCTAAGGAATTTAAGAGGTTGAGAAGCTTACAAAAGATGGTGATTGGGGACAACGAGTTAGAAGGACATTTGCCAGATGATTTGTTTTCTAGTCTTGTTAATTTGCAAGTCGTGGATTTGAATGGGAATAAACTTGATGGTGCTCTTAGTGCTACATTTTGGTCAATGCCTAATTTGCGGTTCCTTGATGTATCGGGTAATAATTTTATGGGCCGTCTACAGGTTCTTAATTCTAATAGTAGTGATGCTACAGCTGCCGTGTTCAATCTGTCAAACAATTTATTATATGGAACTTTGAATTTTTCACTTGCTATGTTCAAATTTATTGATCTATCTGGTAACTATTTTCAAGGCAAGGTAGTTGACTACAGGGAAAGAAATGCTACTGTTGACAAGAATTGCCTTCAGGATAGGTTGAAGCAGAGGACTCTGGATGATTGTACACTGTTTTATACAGAAAGAGGGCTAAGTTTTGATAATTTTGGAGAACCAGACACAATACAGCCGCTACCTCCATCAGAATCTGGTTCAGAGAGCCGGAAAAGATGGATATTTATCCTGGCAGGACTATTTGGTGGACTTGGCTTCATTGTAATTTTGGTACTGTTGCTAGTGCTGTTCTTGAGACGGTGTGATAAGGGCATTACAAATCAAAGAGGGAGTGCAGATGTAGGGCCAGTTCCAGAAGCAGATGGTCCTCAGCTTCCAAAAGATCCTACTAACATAGTTGGTTCTGGGGATCCATATACATACGAGCAGTTGCTCCAAGCAACTGGTAATTTTAGTGAGACGAATCTTATTAAACATGGCCACTCAGGGGACCTTTTCCGTGGTATCTTGGAAGGTGGGATTCCTGTGGTCATCAAAAAGGTCAATTTGACTTCTTTCAAGAAAGAATCATACATGATGGAATTGGATTTACTCAGAAAGCTTTCTCATACGAGATTTGTCCCTCTCTTGGGGTACTGCTTGGAGCATGAGACTGACAAGCTTTTGGTCTACAAATATATGCCAAATGGAGATTTGGCGAATTCCTTTTACAGGGCAACCAACTCAGAGGATGATAGTTTACAGTCCCTGGATTGGATTACGAGGTTGAAAGTAGCTACAGGAGCTGCTGAAGGTCTATATTACTTGCACCATGAGTGTAACCCTCCCCTTATTCACAGGTATCTTTCAACATGCTTTTGGCTATTATATTCTCTTTTCAGCGTAATGATACTTAGTAGTGGAATGCTTGTAACCACGAAATGTTTATTTTCTGTAGTAAACTCCGAATCTATATGCTAGTAGCTACTCATTGCTGTCCTTTTCTCCATTTTAATTAGCATTCTTGCTCATATTATTATTTGTAACTTTTCACTAGCTTTATGATTTCCTTTTCAATAGCATCAATCTTAAATGCAATTATACTTTTGGTGGTTGAAGGGATATTCAAGCAAGCAGTATCCTTCTTGATGATAAATTTGAAGTGAGACTTGGAAGCTTGAGTGAAGTTCATAGCCAGGAAGGGGATACACACCAAAATATGCTCACAAGGTTGCTGTGGAAGCCGCAGTAAGTATTATAAAAGTTACTCCTTTTTACCATTTTCAAGCTGTCTATTTGCCAGGAAGCATTATGGTAGTTTCTATATCCCCTTTTATTTTTGGAGTTTTTTGAATTAATCCAGGTATAACTTTTAATCTGAGTATAACTTAATAGATTTACAAGCTATCATATTGTTTTGTTTGCTGCTTTTGACTTATTTAATTTGATTTAGAAGGGCTATGGCCTAATAATTTACATCTACTAGAATTGGGATATACTAGTATGCTGATCTTCTTAGATGTAAATAGTAGTTTTGATTCTAAAGCAGAATTTTCTTGTCAGGCAGCCCACCTTTCAGCTCGGGCTGTGCCTAATTCAGGCCAATACATTGGAGGCAATAGCAGACCCAGCAATTGACTCAGATTTTATATATAGTGTTGATAAGATATATTTGTCTCCTATTATTGAGATAATATGTTAGTTATATTATTAATAATTAATATAATTGGCTTGCCAGCTTGGGTGAGTTGCATGGCCCTTGACAGGTCTGTTACTTTTAATTGTTTGTGGTATGTCAACATTTGACAGATTTAGTTTTCAATTTGTGTTACATTACTGTTAAACCATGATATCAATGGCAACCCTGACATACAAACACAAACACATCCAGTCATGCGATAAAACTTAGATTCTTTCCAAGGGCATTAGAGTGATGAAATTGGTTAATGGATGAAATAGCTTTAGCACAGGTGATACAGCTTTAGTTTCCCACTTTTTTCTTCGCAGCACTAGTTCCCTTTATAGATTATTTGTATTTTTCATTGATATTTGAACTTTGATGCCTCATGATATCTAAATTAATATGCATGACAGACTAATTGGCAAGAGACAAGTTCTTTTACTGTATATTCGTTGAAAGCCTTAATATATTTTGCTCTTGGTGATGTGCAGGACCTCTGAGCCAGGCCCTTCAGGTTCAGGTATGTAAAATTCAATTGCATGTTTATTGAAATTTGATAGTAATTATTAACTAATCTGTTCGGATTAACTTCATTGATTTATAATCTTATCCTACAAGAGCTGGAGCTAACGGCCTTGGTTGAAGTGGTCCACTAGAATTTTTCTTTTTTTTTTGTTTTGAAAGGCAATGGTCCACTAGATTGGCATGTTAAGCAGTTATAATTCACATGTATACTGTTGTATCTCTGTGCTAGCAGATGATATCCATTACTAGTTTCCATTACTGAACCTTTAGATTTCTTTACACCAATATATCCATTGTTGAAACGAAGCGAATTTGCCCATGACTGTGAATTACTTTCAAGTGTCTCCAAAAACTGTAGTTGGAGAGAGGAGATTCTGAAATATAAAGCATACAGCATTTCATAAGCCTTTTTCTGCCTCATTTATATGTTGGAAAGAAAATAAACCATAATTCTTATAGATTTCTTTGGAAATGGGCAGGCTCTTCTTCGACTAGTTGTGCTTACGACGTGTACTGTTTTGGGAAAGTATTACTTGAGCTTATAACAGGCAAGCTTGGCTTTGCTAAAGCAGAAGATGCATCTACAAAGGAGTGGCTTGAGCATATCTTGCCTTGCATCAGTATATATGAAAAGGAAATGGTGACAAAGATCATGGATCCATCCTTGATAGTAGATGAGGATCTATTGGAAGAGGTGTGGGCAATGGCAATTGTGGCTAGGTCATGTCTTAACCCGAAGCCTTCCAAACGACCCTCAATGAAACATATTCTTAAAGCATTGGAAAACCCTTTGAAAGTCGTAAGGGAGGAGAGTTTTAGTTCCGCAAGGCTAAGAACAACTTCATCTAGGAGATCTTGGAGTGCTGCCTTCTTTGGTAGTTGGCGACAGAGCTCATCGGAGAGTGCCACCATTGCAGGCCACCCAAACAGAGAGGGCTTCAGTGGTTTTAGGCAGTCAGGTAGAGTAGGTTCTCATGGCAGTGGGGGAATTGAACACTCATCTTCAAACAAAAGGTTGTCAAATGAAATTTTTCCTGAACCAGTGGAAATGCAAGACTTGGAGAGGTCAGATGAGAACTAGCCGAAACAAAGTTCTCTATTAATGATTTTTAGGGGGCTTCTGTTTAAGTGCTTGCTGAACCATTGAATCCCAACTGTATTTAGTTGTGCACCCATTGGGTTCTAAAGCCATTTTGCAAGGATATCTGGCAACTGAACCAACTTAATTGAAGGCAAATTGGTTGAACTGATGCATCTCTAGGCCTAACGAGAATGGCCAAAAGTCAGCCATGAAGAAGAGGCGGCAGACCAACCATGTCCGGCAAGATTATTTCACATTTCAGAGCTTGTTTGCAGTCTTATTGTTAAAACAAGCAGCAATTTTCCATTGTAATTGGCACTCTCACATATCTTAACATGTAGTGTAATGTAAAATTGTAAAAGATTAGGACTCCTTGCAGCATTGTTAAGTTTCCATCTTGTTAGTAGCAATCAAGGAACACATTAACTGTGCCTCGAAACTTTTTTTTTCGATTGAGAATTCTAATCTGGTTATAGAAATATTTGACATCCCAGAAAATTCTCAACATAATTCTGTGGCTGTATTACACACTGCCCGTCTCAGTAACTTAAAGTTAAAACAAAGATGAATCCCCAGAAGGGTTTATCAATAACTGCTTCAGTTGAAGTGCCTGCCGCTCAACTAGAACGGCTAACACTTCCTACCCTATCAGAAAGAGCCTTCGATCTTAAGACAAAAGACCAGTTCTAGTTTTCCAGAGTTCTTATAGCATGATATGTTTCTCATGGGTGTAGAATGCTAGAGTCTAAAACCGTGCTATGCAAAGGAAAATAAAAAGCGATCAATAAGAGAAAGGAAACCTAAACAATAATTATGTTGTAAACAAAAAATGGGGGGGAAAAACCCAAGGTTCTTTTAATTTCTATCTCTCAGATCCATGAATATCATGCAAAAACAAAGTATAAAATGCAACTTGATTGCTTTCACAAACAACAACGCTACAAGTTTATGTGGCTGTCTTCAGCCCTTCTGAAGCAGCAGTTGCATAAACAGGGTGGAGGGCATGTCCTTCCTTAGGTTCAACATGTACCCATTTCCGTCCACTAAGTTTATGCGTTTCGAATTTCACACAACCTTCCTTCAGGGCATAGAGAGTATGATCTTTCCCCATCCCAACATAGTTTCCAGGATGGAACCGTGTTCCTCGCTGACGAACTATAATGTTTCCAGGAATCACCCTCTGCACAACAAAGTAAACATAATCAAATCAAAACGACATACTCTGCTATTACTAAAAATAGAAGTACTTGAATCTGGATCATCCACTGACCTCGCCACCGAACTTCTTCACCCCAAGATTCTTGGGTTTTGAGTCTCTTCCATTCTTCGTTGATCCAGCAGTTTTTTTAGTAGCCCAACGCTTCACCATCAAGCTCAAGCCAGAGGAAGACCCATCTAAGCAGGGAAAAAAGAAACAGCACCATGAAATCAGTTCACTGAATAAATCACAATTAACAACAATAAACGCAGCTTAATCTCAAAAGGTTATTGAAAATACCGGTGATGCTGCCGTATACAGGAGCACTGGTTACTAGCTCCTTCACGCTTACTCTTTTGCAAAATGTTTTTGCAATGTTAAACATATCTATCTATTTGTAAGATACAAGCCTGACAAAAACAAAAATCAATGCAACTACGCCCTTATCTTGAACGCAAGATGACTTCGCCAGATATTAGGAAGTAGAAATGGGATCAGAAATATAGGAAAAAGCAAAATCTTGAGTCGGACTACCATAAACCTATCTAAATGTATAAATTAGGGATTTTTGAATCTAAAATAGATATAAAGGGTCGTACCTGTATTGAAATGCAAAACAATTGAATCGTCCCGATTGATCAATCGAGGGATTAGGCAATTCTCTGGTTGTTTTAGGGTTTTACGTCCCAATCTAGATTTTTTTTCCGGTTTTATTTAATTGACCAATTTTTTCAGTTGGGCGGGTCAACATGTTAGCTCTAAAACAGCATGGTCAGCCTAAATGAATTTGGGCCGTAAGATTGGATCAAACCCATCAGTTTGATTCCTGGTGCAAATGCTTCAGATAATAGCGCAAAATCCTCTGCCCCAAATCCCAATGGTTGCCTCTCCGTTCCTGCTCATTTCCTATGGAATTGAAATCTCCTGCCCCAGTTTGGTCCCACATTGGTGCGCACTTTCTATTACTTTACAAGCAAAGATCAATACGGCCGTCCTTAAATATATGTTTCAAGCTGAACCAGCCGCACGTAGGTACTTTTCCTGACTTATCTCCGCTCTCCATTTCTGCCACCGAACGGCGTCGCACAAAGTGATGCAAAGACACGAAACCTTTTATTAGGGCAAAATTGCGGTAATCTCTAAGTTTCAGGCTTTTGATGTCTCATTTCTCTCTGAACAATTAAACCACAGGCTTCTAAATCTCCAGAGGTGGTTTAGAAGAAAGGGTACAATGGCTCCAAGGCGGATGCTTGGTCTTGTGAGGTACTTTTATTTGTTTATCCTTTGATAATATTCTGGTGGCTATGCATAAAAGGATTCATGGCAGGCGGTTTCACTTCGCATCCTATGTATCAAAGCTTGCAAAGGCTAAAATATGACGGCTTTTAGACCCAAACCCAGACACGAGAATGGGCATAGAAAAGTTAATGGACACTTCGTGATTTGTGAACTTTCCACCAAAGGGAAGCAACCATTTTTCGAACTTATGATCACGGTGAGTTCTGGTGTACAATCAAAGAGATATCTACCATCAAGGTTCGCTGGCTACAAACATCTTTTTTCTGTCAAGTGAGAATACAATTGAGCAAATCTAATTACATTGAATCCATTGATTGAGGGACAAGAAGAAAATGATGAGGCTGAGGCTTTACTTTTACACGTCCAAATCCCGAAAGAAGAGTTATTTTGCTTCTTTCTGAAACGCAACACCTGCAGTTATCAGGCTGGGAACAGATTTCACAATGGAAGAATATGGAATTCGTGTGGCATGAAATCTTCACTTGGTCTGTAGTATTTGTCTGGGGAATACAAGCTTAAGTTGGAAACTTGGCTAGTGTAAAGGCAGGCAAATCTCTCAACCTGCAAACATGCGGAATGTACACGAGAAATTACTAGTGATATTTCATGGCATAAGCATACTGCACAGATGATATAAGAGACCCGACAGTTTTGTGAAATCCTTGTAAAACTGTAGCACGAGGATTATCGTTCAGTCTTACTTGATGAGCAAAGCGAGAGTTTTGATAGCCAGTCTTCATGAGTTGTCCCCAGATCTTATGGAACTGTATTGTGAACAAATAAAATAGTCGTGGTTAGTACTCAAACTCGATAGGCCCCTTGGCAACTGAATGTAAATGAGTTCCTCTACCTTTTGGTGACACTCCCGCTGAGCCTGCTGATGAGAAAGTCGCACTTGATCCTTTTGAGACTATTGAAGGAAACCATTGAAAATAAAATCATGAGAAGGCTTCAAATCATCCATCTGGCATTACATTTAAATACGTCAAGGTATAATGCCCTAACCTCCAGTTCATGCACAGCAGAAGTCGTTTTCTGCTTTTCATCTTCATCAAGACTTTCAAACCTGAATAACAGGAAAGCAACTCTCTGTTAGAAAAGGGAAAAAACGAACCAAAGCAAAAAATAAATAACAATAGACAAAAATTACTAAAGCAAAGCTGAAAATTCTTCATTGTGGTCTTCACAGGGAGCCAATGGGGTACTAATAATTTGATGCAATCAAGTAGAAATTAATAAGACAAAAATAGAAAAAAAAATTATAAAATCAATGACATTTTCAACAGAAATCAAATCCTGGATTAAGCTATCTATTTTCACATGTCCATCATTTGTAAAATACATGAAAGAATAGTAATAACATAGTTTTGAATGATAGAATATGTACTTACTTAAGAGACCATTTCATATGATGAATATGGTCTTCAATTAGATCACGTTCATTCCTCAACATCCTCAGTTGCTGCATGAAAGTACTCGTATTAGTTGTAAGGGAAATAAAAATAGTAGTGATCAATCAGGATAGGTAGTTAGAGCTCTCATAGACTTGACACTCAAGATAACAATTATCTTCAACACTTAGTATATTGTTTGTGCACAATTCCCTCGAACTAATTTGAAAATAAAAAGAACTAAACATAGTGCCAAAGAAACAGGTGATGATAACAAATTATCATCAAGAGAAAAGCAGCATGCAAACTGCTCATTACTAGAGTCTTATCCTAGTTACGGCATTAAATGTTATTCCAACATGCTCTTACTGATGAATTAGAATTTTACAACTACTACGAAAACAATATGATATAAAATTAGAATACCATGACCAATATGTCAGTATAGCATCATATCCACCATGCAAAACTCACCTTCCGCATATCTCTTGACTCCCAAAGCAATTCAACCTCCCTCTCAAGCTCTGGAACAACGAGCATCGTTCTCCATCCTTATCATAGATAAATAACATGACCAAAACAAAAAGAAACAAATGTTAACAATAATGACACCTTTTTAACCTACAGTAAGGTAATGAGGGAATGAAAATAGAAATACATACCAAGAACCTTCTTGCTGCGCAAAATATCTCCATAGATATGATCCCCAACATAAAGCACCTAATAGAAGCATGAAACTAATTAGATTATGAAAGAAAACATTGAAACAAAAGCTACCAATTAACTTAGGGACCAAATTATGTATTTACTGTTGAATTCAACAAGCCAAAGATTACTATGATCTAAAGTAAAACAGCTTATGAAATTAACAACTCATAAATGATTCACCACATCAAAGAATCACCTGTGAACTTGACTCTATGGAGAGCAACTTATGTAGATGACCAACACTGCCTCCCTAAAGGACAAGTTAAATGAAATTATTAGCTGTTATCTCATGATATTTTCTTCAGTCCTTAAAATAGTCCGAGGTAAATCTCGCACTGGAAGTAAAAGCTCGTAATTTATTTCACATGCGCTCATTAATAGATAATCCTCCAATACCTGGAAGACTCGACAACTTTTGTTTAATCCCTTTGGTAGCACATTTGGTGAAGTACTTCCCACCTTTTATCCAAAGATAAGTTACCAAATGAACATTAGACAAAATCTTACTACTGACGGATTACATAATAAAAATTTAGCATATTTCACCGAACCCGAGGCATAGGAGTTCCATTGTCAGTATTGAGGAGCATTCCAGACTCAGGTTCAACCTCAAAAAGATTGGCACGGTTGTCATGGAAGAAGCCAGGTTTTGCACTGTACAGATGATTTCATCTTCAAGGTCAGAAAGCAAAGGATAAAGCACATGAAAAGTGCTATAGATATTTAAAAAACCAATGGTAATACAAAGATCGTGTTGAGGTTAGGCAAAAGTTGACCTGCCAGTGATGACTACATCAAAATATTGGAGCCAATCAAAATTGCATGTGTTGCCACCATCCATTGTACGGGATGCACAGAGAAAATTCATTACAATATTTGTGTAGTCCCATAAACTGCAAGAGATGTAATCAAGGATTAACTGATTGTTTCAGACAGCCCTTAGGAAACGGAAGTCAGATAGGCAACATACAGTTGCATCTGAATATCATCATTTTCAATAAAAAATTAAACAAAAAACAGAATCTTAATAATCACTTGAAATGAAAGCAAAACCATCTTCAGTATTGTACCCTCTTAGACTGCTAACAAAATTTTCCTCCCAACTTAGGGCAAATTTTCTTCGAAGAAAGGAAGAGACAATTTGCATTGAATCACATATACTTTTCATGCCTAAACAATTAACATTTGCAATCACAAAGATATATACCTATTTGTTACCAAGAATGTCGAACGGCCAGAATCTCTTAGCATTTTGAGCATAGGTACCATTGAGGTGTCCTCGTTGATATACCTGACAGTGGAATGGGAAACAACTAACTGATTAAAGCCCCATTTTGCAAGCTGCCTGTGAATTTAAATAGAGATTTACATCCATTCTTAAACCTAGCCGTAATCTTACACTATAAATTAAGGCCACATCTTTCCAATTTACCTTTTAGGATCCTTTGCAACCATTTGCTTTAAGGTTCCATCCCGGTGGCACAAATCAACAGCAGCCCGAACATCTTTGTACATGCGAGAGTAACTGAAAGAATCATTTATAATAGACATTGCTTAATATTCAAAATCTGATCAAAGGAATTAAGATTTCAATAACTAATAATACCCTCTGTATCTTAATTTAGCATCAAACTATGGACCATGTTTATTATATTAATGTTCCAATACCTGGATCATGTTAAATCGCAACCAATATGTGCTACTTTCAAACTTAATGTAATTTTTTTAAATGTTTCTATTACCAATGACTTCCAATTGCACTAATGGGGAATAAATAGCAATCTAATTGACTGCAACTCTCAAAAAAATACTAGGATATTTGTCCCACAGAGGAGCAGAAAGAAAACTGTGATACAGAGACTAAAAAAGTTATAGAAAATCTTGAAGAAGCAGTAAATAAATTTCTTACTCAGCACCCTCTGGAACTTTCCCTGGATTATTGTCCTTAAAATCAACAAGTTGAGCAAACAAGTACGCTTCAGCTAGTGAAAAGAGTGTATCAATAAGGGCATAATCTGGCTCATCAAAAGAATCTCGTATGAGTGTATTGCCGTAGGTTCCAACTTTATCTTCTTTGGACAACTCTCTGAACCCATGGTATGCAACTTTCACATACTTATGCCGATCCATCTGTAAAAGACACAGCTATCAACACAAATCATATTCAAGCAAAGTAGATGAACAAGAGAGAGAAATGCTAAGTCCAGTTGGCTAGAGAGAAACAGTAGCCTTAAAGATACAATTTCAGTCAACCTTTAAGATGTTGCCTCTCTTTTTGTCTAGAACCAAGCCTCTAACCATGTACTTCCAATCAAATGTCCATGCCAGTAACTGCATAAGATTTATCCTTGTCAGCATACCTCTACATATCACTCAAATTTTGGCAGCATTCTTCCACAAATGATGCACAAACTGTATAAAGTTGACAAACCTCTTGAGGATAGCCCAAATCATAGACCAATTTCCTGGTTGTGCCTTCATATGCAAGGGACTCAAAAGTCTCAGGTTTGTACTGTGCCAAGGTATAATCCATATCAAAGCCAACCGCAACAATATTCCTCATATTCAATGATCTGTTGCAGAAAATTTGTTTTCCTATGTCAATTTTACATCCTCCTTCAGGAGATGACCATACACATGGATTCTCACCACCATTGCTGCTGTCCATGAGATGAGACTGTGATGCTTTGTCACCTAACACGGTACTAGGGCTATAGTCCATTGAGTAATGAGCGTGCCACTGATTAGCCCCTGAATTCAATTTAGCATGAAGTAAAAAGGATTAGCATTAATAATAATAATAGAACTGAAGTCCCAGTAAATAATACTCTAATCTATCAACATGTAGAATGAGCAAAACTGCACTTTTTGTTAATTTTGATGATTAACTGTGAAAATAGAAAGCCTAAGTAACAGAAATTCAATCAAATGTTTCAACTCAAAACTAATGCCATCTTTACATTTTAGCCAGGTTCATGTGAGAATGCAAATCTTAGAACACAACAACCGAATAACTTATATTAACTTGTTCCACACAGCACCATGTAACTGAGACTTGAAACTGAATAATTCTTTTTCACTACTCAATTTATAGAGTTAAGAGTAGCTATTACAAATTATAAAAAATCAACTGTTTCCTTCTCATGAAAAAAAAAAGGAAAAAAGAAATAATCAAGAAAAACAAAAAGGTAAGATTTTCCTAGAGACAATTAGACAAAAACCTTGACATCTTACCTTAGGTGTCAAATCAAAAGATCACACAGTGCACCACGTTATGTTCCGAGCCTAAGAATCTTCCAACATATGCTCCAAGTAACACCTAAAAATCCAATTTCTCAATCAAAACTAATCCAATTCCAACTAAATTACTTTAACTCTAATCCCCAAACTTCAACCAAACAAAAAGATTCCGTAACCTCAACCCCAACAGCCAAACAAAGAAAGAAAAAGCGAACTCCAAATGCAAATGTTAAATGCAACAACCAAAAGAAAGAAAGAATAAAGAGACAGATATTAAAGAGTAGCTAGTAACCTGCAGCGTGGATAGCTTTAATTTTGGCGGGAAATCCGGAGGAGAAACGAAGAATCCGGGAGGAAAAAGGAGCGGGAAAGTCAGGGAAGAAGAGGGAGAGGCAAAAGGCAACGGGTTTCTTGGGAATTCGCATGGTGGAACTAAATAGGCATCTCGGGGAGAGGGCGAGGGAGTTGAGTGGAAATGTCGAAGACAGAGAATCTGATTCTGATGATGAAAAATTTGGAAATGTGCGGTTACAAGTTGGCAATGAGGTTGCAACTGTCACAACAAGATGAGGAGGTGGAGGAGCAGACATCTAACAATTAAATTGAACTAATTCCGTTGTTTGGGAAACAGGAAAAAGAAGGATTATTCCCATCTGGAATCGGAATCGGAATCGAATTATCCATGCTGGCAGAGGAACAGCGGTGCAAAAAGGAGGGAATTAATGCTTCCGATCCCAGCCACCCGGGGGAGAAATGAAACGTTGCAGTAAAATAAAAAAAGGATTGAAGATGGAGTGCCACGTGGCTAAATACTTGCTCGGTGGATCATGAAAAGTTTTCGTAATGCGTTTCTTGTTTCTTTTGTCGTCTTATTAACGCGGGAAGGATTTGTGGTGACTTATGCATGGTTTTTCGTTTTTCTTTTTTTTATTGGTAAATTAGAGGTGGGATTTTATTGAAGAATTTCCCTTTTATTTATTTTGTTTTGGGCTTCGCTGAGACTGAAACGGTAACAACAAAAAGAAGCCTTTTCTTCCCCAGTTGGGTTGCGACCTTCCTGAGCGAATCCTGTCCAATATCTTTAGATAAATGGAAATATATCAATTTCAAACGTATTTTCTTCACATAAAATTTTTTAAATATAGATTAAATTAAACATAATATTTAAAAAAACTTTAAATATTTTTTATTTTTATATTATTTTTAATTCATTTTTATATTTATATTTATTATTAATTAAAAAACTATTTATTATTTTATATTTTATATTACACTAATATGATATTATATAAAGTTGACTTAGAAGATCACATTATATGTCATTATATTATATTAACAATTATCATAATTTATCAACGTAATATCACATATATAAAATGATAAATAATATTTTAATTAATAATTATTAATTAAAATAAAAATATAATAATTTTATAACATAAAATTATAAAGAGAAATATTTTGAAAATTAACATAATGAGGCACCATAGTGTTCAGTGAATTAAATATTATCATTTTATTAATAAATAAATATAAAAAATATTTTTTAAAAATAAATATTTATTTTAAAATTTTAAAATTTTTATTTTAAATTATAAATTAACACTCTATGATTAAGTAATAGTATATGAATATTATATATTATAATATATAGAATATAATTTCTTTTCATATTAAAAATCATTAAATATTTATATTATAAAAATCAAATATTTTATTTTAATTTATATAAAAATCAGATAAGGTTCAACATTTTAAAATGGCAAGAATAATATAATTGATTATACTAAAACGTGGTTAATATTCTTTCTTAGTATGATAATGTGATAATTATAATAGTTATATACTTTCCATCAATCAGAACAAACGTGAGGGGACATTCGTTAAACAATGCATATATTAAAAGAATCGGAATCGACACTTTTTCTTTAAAAATCTCATTTTAATTTAGCAAGTCGTGACTCGTTATGCTAACCATAAAGGTACTTTAGTGAAGGCGCTATTAAGAAAAATGTAGAAATTACACACAAACAGAAGGCTTCCCTAATAATACTTCAATTACAAGTTAGTGCTCATGCCTATTTTTGTAGATTGATGTGACTTTTTCAGAATTTTGCTTTGGAGATTAGTTGGAGTTGAACAAAGGCTTTATGTTGCTGTCAGTGATTGAGACTTCTATTAAAGCTAGAGTGAACTACATAATTTCGTAATCTTTTGTCTGGTAAATATTGTTTTAGCTTCTTTTTTTTAACTTTGATATTAATTATTTTAATATATATATATTTAAAATTTTTACTTTATACAAAATATTAAGTGTAATATTAAAAAAATTCACAAATTATTTAAATAAATTAAATAAATTTTTATTATTTTATTATGTTAAATAATGTTAACATGACATGATGATATATTATAATAAATGACAATGTGACATATTGATATAGTATGATAATATAGTCATAAGGTATTTTTACTATTATGTCAAATCATGTGATATATAATTAGTTAACAGTTATTTATAATAGTCTATTTAATAAAAAATAAAAATATAAAAATTTGATTGAATATAATAGATAGAATAATAATAATAATAATTTTTTATTTTTATTAAATAATTTAAGAGTTTTTTAAAATATATTGTCAAAATTTTAAGATGTAATTTTTTAAGAAAATTTAAGATGGTTTAAAAATAAAAAGTAATTAAACTTTAAAAAGTTGGATTAAAATAATTAATTTCAAACATTAATAATGAGATGGAAAAATTTAAGTATTAATGAACTTCCTAGTAAAATTATGAATCCTATCTAGAAACTCACAGCAAAATTTTGGTTCCCTAAAAGAGTCTTGATTGCTTTATAATTAAAGTTGTTGATTCATGCATGCATGGATGTAGAACTCCAAAACAGAAAATTAGTACAAAAAATAAAACTTCATTTTTAATTTAATTTTATTAATTTTAATGTAGAAATATTATTATATTAAAAAGTATTTTAAAAGGATTCATTAACAAAACTCTTTTATTAATTACTTTTTTATTTTCAAAGTAAAAATAAAAGATGTTTTCGCATCACAGAAAATAAATTATATGTTTTTTTTGAATGTTGATATTGGGAACATCAAAGTTTGTGATTCGTTTATCATAATTAAATTTTTAGATGAAATAATTAATATTTTAAATAAGTATTAATTCTTTTCATGAATTTAATTATATATGATTTTATCTTTTAATATTGTTTCCACATTATGATAAATTTTAAATGGTTAAAACACACAAAAAAAAAGGAGTAAGCAATAAAATTAACAATTCAACTATTTTCGATAAAAAAATCTTTATTACGTCAGCTTAAATTAAGCGCTAAAAATGGTCGTTTACTTTCCGTAGACTTGGTAGTTGCTAACATCAGCCATGCCGCCAGCTACACTCCGCCTTATCTCTAGCTCCCCTCTCTCCACCGTCGCGGGCCTCCCACCGACGCCTCCCAAACAGTTCATTTCAAATCAAAACCTCTCCGTCAGAGGCAACCAAGAAAATCGGCGGGAGGATCAACGCCATCTTGTAAATCAATTGCAAATATCTCGCAGAGACGCTGCTTTTCTCTCCCTAATCTCTCTCTTTCCTTCTCTCTTCCAACCATCGCATGCTCCTGCCTTCTCCATTGGAATTTGTGAGCAACTCTCTTTCTCTCTCTCTTTACTTTTCCATCGATGTTTCTTTTATTAACCGTTGTTCGTTGCTATGCGCAGCAGGACCAAAGGAATGGCTTAAAGAGCAAAAAAGGAAGTCCTCGAAATTTCTCTTGGCCCCAATCGATGCTTCTCGACTAAGCCTTCGCTCTGCCTATCTTTTGATCAGTACGTACATGTCCATTCTCTTCTGCAATTATGCAAATCTCTTAATTTGTCGTGTTCTTCGAATAATTTTGTTTTTCTTTTAATACTTTTGAATAGTGGATAAGGAATCAACCAAGGATTTGGAGGAAGTTCAAAAGCTCTTGAAATCTGCGGCTAGGGATTGCGTTGTACGAGAGAGGAATTCCTTTGTTGCATTGCAAGCCAATACCGGAGTCGAGGTTTGTTCTTGTCCTCATTACTACTAAAGTTAGATTAAAGTCGAAATTTCTTACGCCCTGTCAATTGATTCGAAGTGAAGAATTGTTTAGGCTTTTAGGTTACATCAGTTTAATAGATACTGTCAACCATTTGTTTACTAAATTTAAAGTTAATTCAAAATCAGAGAGGAGGAAATGAATGCCGAACATTCGATCAAATTTTAGGTTATAATTGTGTATTCCTAATTTCTATAATGCACAGGTTTGCACATTCCGGTTGATCGTGAAGAACGCGTCTTCATTGCTTGAGGATAAGAATCCTGTTAAGCTGGAAGCTGAAGCTATGCTAGATGATCTTATAAGGTATCCACTTTTCTAAGCAGATAGGCTTTGTGCTCCTATTTGTCTTTTCATAGTCTTGTTATACTTACCTTGATTGTTTGAAATCGAAAATGTGAAACATCTTTGTAAAATTTTGTGTTTCAAAGTCTGTCTGTTAGTTTGCTATAAATATAGCAGGAAATGCTTACGGTGTTTCTTTCTTGATGTACATTGTAGAATGTTTTTCTTTTGAATGTTTGTTGGGAGAAAATTGACATCCACATAATTTAAAAGCATTTTGTCATTTTTAGTCTTCCTGTGTTCCACTGGTTTGGTGCTTTCAGATCTATCCACCCATAAGTGTGTTTTCTTTCAATTTTTGATTCGTCTTATTGTCACCATAGTTTGTTTCACTGCATATTTTGTTAATGCTTATTGTTATTTTCTTTCTTGGCAGCTCGTTTACCACACTTAATAGTTTGGCAAATGAAACTGATATTCAGGTTTCTTCCAGTAGGTATGCTTTTCAAATAATGTGAATCGATGCTGTTGCTCCTTTCAGTCACAACTTTAACCATCACCAGATAATGGTTGCTGATAACTTTTATTTGCAATTAAGTTATTTATTTTCTTTTTCTGCAGACAAAGGGTTGCAGATGCACTCATGGATACCATATCTTCCCTTGACAAATTTGAGCAGGGGGTTAAGGACTGCCTCGAAGTATGACCATGCTAGCTTCCTTTTGTAACTGAAATTTTATAGTGTTATGTGGTGCTTGGAGATTTTGCAGATGCTTTTGTCCTTTGGACCTGGAGCATGGAAGATTGTGAAAATGCACAAGTATCTTATTTGACTTGGATCTTTGTTGTAAATTTTGTTCTATATCCCATTTATCATGTGTTTAGTTTCATTTTTCCTGTATTTTTTGACCATTCTTTGCTAGATACAAGATGTGCATAGTGTACTAAAAATTTGGAAAATACCTGATCTAACTTTCAGGTTTATAAAATTCTAACTATGCTTCACCCCAGCAAAAAAGGTGTTCAAAGTATTGGAATTTATGATATGAGCACATTCCCCAAATTCATGTCGTTCGTCTTCACCTCAGACCAAGAAATTGTTTACAGTATAATTTTACATCAAAGTTCTGGATTAGTGCTAACTTTCACACTATGTACCCTTTGAGTATACCACTTAGGCTAAATAATTTTAGATTACATAACTACCACAATGAATAACATCCTGGTGGTACTATTTCTACCCCTTTTATAACCTGCTGAATTACCATTGATAATAGAAGCTTGTATATTCTAAAATCTTAAATCTTATTTTATTTGCTTTCTGCATCAAAAAGGTTTGCAGTAGAAAACCTAATAGTTGGCGAGGAGAACCTTGTCAATGGACAATATTCTTCATCTGCAGATTCAGGCTGAACATTGATGCCTACCTTTTTGATCAGTAGGAAGTGAGTTTACTATTGATGCTCTTCCTTTTAATATATGCTTTTTGCAGGCTAAACGAAAAGTTTGAAATAAAAAAAGAAGTAGGAATACATGCATAATGTTTACATTTTCTCCTTACTGACTCAACAATAAAAAGAATTTGTTTATGATCAATCAAAGTATAGGCATATTTCTCAGGGACAAAGGATTCTTATGCTCAAATATTCAGGAAAAGAGAAATAGTGGAGCAACTGCTATGTGGTAATATATGCTTATACAATTTAAAAAATCATTATACAGCACAAAAGTCTTGTCGCATCTTGTTGTTCAATTCAATTTTACATTGAACAACACTAAAAATAATGATTCCTGCATCTACATTACAATGATATCTATACTACATTGGAATAGTGCTCAAGGAAATTGTTTGATTTGGCGAGCCAGAAGCCTGCACCAAATACAAGCGACAGCATGGTGTTCCATCATCTGGGTTGGTTTCTGCTGATCTTGGCAAGTTGCGGAGCTTATTGAACAAATTCAATGGATCATGCATGAGACCAAAATGAGCATCTGGGTCACCAATTTGTGAAAGTTTAACATGAGAAAATCCTAGAGATGGCAGAAGATGATCGGGCCAATCACTATAGAAGTGGAAGATAGAACTGGAGAGTGTGGTTGATGCTTTATTCATAAAGTCTGCTAATAGAACTGTATGGGTGAGGGTACACTTGTCAGCTACAATCTTCAGTACTTGCATGGCTTGAGAATGGGAGAGGTAGTAGATGATACCTTCTAGAACCCATACTGTGTTTTTTTCTGGCACAAACCCAGATATCTGAAGCTTTTCAAGCCAGTCATTCTCTCTAATGTCAGCTGCTACACTAGTTAAGGATTTTGCCATCATCCTAAGATGTTCTGTGGACTCCAGAGCTGCCTGAAGAAGAGCAGCTTTTACTTGCAAGACTTCAGGAAAGTCTACTTCAAAGACGTCACTTTCCTTCAAGCAGCTTAAGCGGTATGCCCTTGCGTCCATTCCTGCAAATGAACATCATGCATTATTTATTTTGAAATATGTCCTGTGTTTTTGAAAATGATGTGTTCTGCTGTTTTAATTTGTCTGTTCATAATGGGGGAGTTTGTTTGTTACTTGGAAGGAAAGCCTGTCTGGATGCAAGCTTACACTGAGGCATGTGATTGCGGTTTTTTGTAGTATAAATGTTCACTGATTAGATGAATCTGGTTATTGGCTAGCGTTTGTTACTCTTGGTTGTGCAATCTAGTTCAGTAACTATCAATCTGACAGCAGGATATAAGAGATAAGTGCTTTCCAGAAAGCAAGAATATGCGGAGCTTCATTGCTTCTAATATGAATGCTGTGAGTGTAGTGCATTAAACCTTGGGTAGAGTGAATACTAACCTGCTCCAAGGAGAACAACTTGAGCCGCACCACCAAAGGAATCAAGAGCAGCTTCAATTTTTGAATCGAACCAAAGGGTTCGAACAGCAAGAATCACTCCTGAAGTTTCTCGAGCATTGTTGTGGCGGTCTTTTTTAATCTTCTCATGAAGGTTTCTTAGGTATGTTTCTCCTGCAAGCACGTCTGCAAGGGGGTCATGGATCACATGCTTCCACAGGGCTCTTCCAGCTGCCGTCTGGCATGCCGACTTTTTGAGGGAATCCCACTCATTCACAATCTTTCCATAGAGTTCCCGAACTGTTTTTGTAAATAATAGGTGTGGAAGCTTCAGCTCCAGTTCGTGGTCCTCTGGCAAGGCATTTTCTTGTTTCGAATTGTCCATAACACAGAAATTTAAAGACTAATAGGAGAAGTGAAGGAGATAATGCAATGCAATAACTAATGCAAAACGTTCATGGGAGAACCAAGGAAGTGTGCGCAGGAGATAAGGAAAGAGAGCCACACATAAAACTAACGTTTGAGAAAAGTGCTCAATCGTATTCATATCCGGCTTCCTCTCCGTGATGAAAAGGAAGGTAACGAAGTAGTCCACGAGTGCTACCATCTCTTGTACCTGACTTGTCCTTGTCTAATCTGTCCTTTTTTTTTGGTTCGGAAAGGCAACAATGGATGGCTCCCACAGTCCCACTTGAAAGGACTAGATATTAGATGTGAGGTGCCTCCCAAGTTAAATAGCAATAAAGAAGCCTATACTACTTCGACCCCTCCAAAAAACAAAGCCAGTCCACTCGCAGGTACTCACTTGTCTTCACCCATCTTGGTGCTTGATATATAGAAATATTAAGGCAATAGCGAATTGGGTTTTATTTTGTTACCCAAATTCGTCCTAAACTCAAACATAAAATGTCCGTATTTTATATAATTAAAGTAAATATATGTATAATATCCGTTTAAAAGATATCTATTGTTATCTTTGCATTACTTGTAATCTCTCTTTAAAAAATATCCATTGTCATCTATACACTTAGAGGTAGAAACGGTGAAACATTATATGCGAATTACGGTAATTTATTGTCAAATTATGTCCCTAATAACTCTTTAAACAGGTTAAGCTGGAAAATAGTTACTAAGCAAAAAATAAGCTTGAAAATAGTTTGATTCTGGCGCCGAACATCCTTCGCGCTTATGCTCATGGGGCTAATGGCCTACACTCATATCCACCGCTGGGCCAGCAACAGCTCAGATTTCAGTGCTTAGTCAGTGAAACATTGAATTTGGGAGAGAATTCGTTGGACGGGTCAACAGACTAAGCAATTCTTCCCCCATCTTCCCATACACGGCCACAAAATTTACCTAATGAAATACCAAAAAGGCTAAGGCCCAGGTTTACTAGGAGACCTCATCCTCGGTTGTATATTAATTACTAGGCTCCTAAAAGTCCAAAGCTAAGTTGGGTCCACTTTAAGCTTTTAATTGGACAAAGTTAGATGTAGGCCCATATGTTCAAGACATCTATTCCTACGTAAACACCCACCAAAGGCGACTACCAAAGTTACAAGTGGTAATTGCATTGATTATTCATGTTAAGATTTGTCTACTGGATAAAAAATCTGCTTTATTAGAGCATTTATTTTGAACTCATTTCAATCTTCCTAAAACTTCTTAGGCCTGTTGTTGACAAATTAGATTCTGTCATTAAACGCTGTTAACTCTCTAAAAATCATTTCACTTATCGATTAGAGATCGAAACATTTTATTTATTTTATTTGAAAAACTTGACATGATATTTATTTTGTATAAATAATTAATTGAGAATGTGGGCAAACATTTCCTCTCTCTCTCTCTCTCTCTCTAAATTCGTTCTTTACTTCAGTTAATATGCCATAGAGTACTACTTTGGGCACTGACTGACAAAGGAATCTAGGAGATGCTTTAGCATCAAACCCGAAACTGTTTAAACTGTTAAAACCTGATTTAACACCTCAACCTCTTGAACTTGTTAGTACAATTTAATATTCCAAAACATAAACAGAGTTTTACGGGTTTTTTAATAAATAAAATAAAAAGATTAAGTCCTAAAGGACAGGTTGGTAAAACGCAAGCATATCGAAGTTGCAGGGATACGTAATCAAGTGGACATAGGCGGTACGGGAAAAGGCTGGTAGCGTATGAATTCCATATTTCCAAGTAGGTACCCTCAGTTTCAGTAAACTAACCTTACAGGCTTGCACGTGAGCAGATAATTGGTCCATTTCTTAAACTCAATTTTCAACTCCTTTTCTCTGTCTGATCAGAATTCCTGGAGCCAGGAGATCTTGAAAAGACAAAGCAACAGACAATCCCCTCTCCGCCTGGCCGCCAAAAATCCTTTTTGTTTTGGGTACTAGAAAAGAATTAAGACGACAACGCACTAAGTCGAGGCCAACCAGAGAAAGATGGCTTCAGACGTGCCCTGTTGTGGGGCTGAATTCTTATTGTATCTGCTGATTATAGTCGGGTTGGTGTGCTTTGCTGGGTTGATGGCCGGGCTAACACTGGGTCTCATGTCGCTGGGCCTCGTCGACCTTGAAGTCCTCATCAAGTCTGGCCGTCCTCGAGATCGTATCCATGCCTGTAACCATCTCTCCCTTTAACTTTCCTATTCTAGATGAGTTATTGATTGGAATTTTCTGTTTATGGTAGTCTGTTCTTTAAATTTTGTCAAACCAGTTGCCAGCTGGTTTCCAATGAAACTGGTGATTCCTGGTTTTTAGCACTGTTGTTTTAAATAGCTTGTCGGTGCTTTAAGTAGGGATGCTTTAGTTGTTATCGATACAAGGGGGCTTGATCATATATTGTTTAGAGAGTTTAGAAACAAGCGGGTAATTCGCTTTTGGAACTCAGTCGATTCGCTGAGTCCCGACTCCCCTCCCTCTGTTGCTTGTATGTTAGGCAGATTGCATGTGGATGCAGAAGGAGTCGGCTTGTTACTGAGTTTAGAGTTTTTTAAAGGCTCCATTTTGGTTGTCATTTTCGCTACACGTTATTTGCTTTTTTAGTATTTTAGAAGCAAAAAGTAAATAGTCAAAGTAGCAATCAGTTCCTTGGAGAATCAGAACTGGGACAACTCACTTGAGGTTTGAGTTAGCATGTGATCAGATCTTGTCAGCATGTAGGTGAGAACTTCATTTAGATGTATTTTTAATAATTAAAAGTTTTATTTTGTTTTTTTTTTGGGCAGCCAAGATATTTCCTGTGGTAAAGAATCAGCATCTTCTACTATGTACTCTATTGATTGGAAACTCATTGGCAATGGAGGTACTACACTAAAAGATTGTTATCGCTTTCTCTGTTAAACGTTGTTGCTTGTTTCCTTAACTTCTTTCCTGCCCTGCAGGCTCTTCCCATTTTTTTGGACAAGCTTGTGCCTCCATGGGCTGCAATTCTGATATCAGTGACTCTTATCCTCATGTTTGGAGAGGTTGTTTGTTAACAGATTAAACTGGCCGTCATTTCAAGGAAGTTGCAGTATTCTTGTTAATATATGCTTGTATGATTGACTGCAGATATTGCCACAAGCTGTTTGTACTCGTTATGGCTTGAAAGTTGGAGCAGCAATGGCACCTCTTGTCCGTGTTCTTCTTTTTCTATTCTTACCAATTTCTTATCCAATTAGCAAGGTATAGTTATATATGAATTTTCTATTATGTTGTGTTGAATTTGGTTATTGCTGTACCTTGTACTTTCTATAAGTTGTCATATACATGATTTAGAGGGATATTAAATTTGCTAGTATTATTTTCCTGAAACTGGGTTTTAGGTTTTGTGTTTTCTGAATAAATGCCATGTGCTTTGTAGGTTTTGGACTGGATGTTAGGTAAGGGACATGCTGTCCTCCTACGGAGAGCAGAGCTAAAGACTTTTGTGGATTTTCATGGCAATGAGGTATTGAATTTAACTCAGAAGGTCTTGAATTTTTAAGTTTAGTAACTAGTGGCAATTGTCTTCAAATTCCGTCTTCTATGAATTTGTACTAGCAACATCCACCTTGTGCCTTATGTTTAAATGTTTTACCCATTTCTTAGCTTTTCTTTATTCGTCAGTATATATATGCCTTGCTTTTTAGGCTGGGAAAGGTGGGGATCTAACTCACGATGAGACAACTATCATTGCCGGGGCACTTGAATTGACCGAAAAGACTGCAAAAGTTGCCATGACGCCAATATCAAATGCATTTTCCCTTGATCTGGATACAACTCTTGATTTGTGGGTTTGTGGATTCCAGCGTATTTGGTCCCTAAGATTTTACCTCTCTTTTTATGTTCTAAGCTTCCTCTCTCTCTTTCTCTTTGTGATGCAGGGAAACATTGAATAAAGTAATGACAATGGGTCATAGCAGAGTTCCAGTTTATCATGGAAACCCAACAAACATAATTGGACTCGTTCTGGTAATTTCCTTTCTCTGCATAAGCTATCATCTTATAATAGTTTCTTGCTAGGATACTTTCTATTTATTTGTCATCTGTTCATTCTTTATTCTTTGTTAATGTGATGTGGCCTCCCATTGTCCTATATTTAGTTCTGAACACTTTTGCTGGAAATCCCTTTCCTTTATTTTTGTTGGTATTTTATTGTTAACAATGGTAGTTTATATACTTTCTGGAGGGACAAGATGATAGATAAGGTAAGAACCATGACAGTGAGTTGCAGTGGCATGAGTGATAGCATTGCTAATCAAATGTGGTTCTTTTTACCTGAATGGTCGTGAAAGCTAATAAATGTATGCATTATTAATTTGAAATCGAGCTACAATTGCTTATGTTTATAGTAATGAAGATTTCTTGGAGTTAGAAAATGCTGTGATGCTCCTTTGGAGCTTTGCTGAATGCTATGAGCATCATGTTAACCATGCTGGAGGTGTCTTGAAAGGGCCTTTTTATTTGCTTGCCTGCTCCTATATCGATAAAAGAGTGCTAACTGTTCAACTTGAAACCTTTCTTTAAACAATGATCAGATCTTGGGTATTATTAGAAAGCATATTTTGTTAGTATAATTCATAATGCATGATATTGATTTTTGTCACTTGATGTATCAAATTACCATTAGCACTTGCATGGATGCACTTTTCTTTATTGTCTGCATCTTTTTGTCTAGTAGTTCTCCTAGAAAAATATGAAAGAATATTTTAATTTCTGCTTCTGTAATATATATGGAAGTATATTTGTTATCGCCTCTTCCACATAGCTTTACTTCAATTTCTTTTCTGCTTTCCTATCTTTAATATGTGGGTTCTTCTTCTTGGTCTGGCTTGAACAGGTCAAAAATCTTTTAACAATTGATTCAGTAGAAGCAGTTCCTCTGAGAAAAATGATCATAAGAAAAATCCCACGGTACAAAATCTTCTCATTTTTGTTATAGTTTATTTTTTTGGTATTTTAATAGGTGGAAAAGAGATGAGAACATGGGATTTAACACTGGATATGTCACTTTGGGGATTTGTAGAATCAGCTTAAAACTCAGTCAGTTGAATTTTTGTTTTTGTTCTCCCTACTGCAAGGAAGTGGCTAAATTCTATTCTTGTCTACTTCTTATTTATTCAACAGGGTATCAGAGGACATGCCACTATATGATATTCTTAATGAATTCCAAAAAGGTCACAGCCACATTGCTGTGGTATATAAGGATCTGAATGAGAACAAAGAATCGGTGAAGAAAGGTAAAGAGGGTGAACGACTTGAGTTTAAGGACAGCTGTAAGAAGTGGAAAGGTCAACCTGAGACAGTGACATCAAGAAAAGGTGATTATATAGATGACTAAAACAGAATAATTCTTTAAACAAAATTTTCTAGTATATTGTTATAGCCGCTGCCACCCTCCTATCTTGGTTTTATCTGCAAACCCAAAGTGTATGTTTCTTCTGAGCCTTTTTATAGGCTCATAGTATTACAATGTTAATGGAACATGTTATCTGTACACTGTGCCCTGTATCCTCTATGATTTATGATCCTTGAAGAATTATATATTCCCATGAATTTTCTCCTCTTTGGTTCCTGAAATGCTAAAACAATTTTGCTAATTATTGATGGTTCATAACCCTGTTTAATATAGTTTGTTTATTTATGTGATTTATTTCTGATTGGCATGTTGAACCTCAAGTCATTAATGCACTACAGATGACTTTACCTTTTTCTTTTATCTTTTGTTCCATTGATTTTTGTGCACAATACTTTCTACAGAAGTTTTTTTGCTTAAAAATGGCCTTTACAAAAGAAGCACCTGTTCAGCTCCACCAATTTTGCCCGAGTTACTATTTCATCATTGATTAGTTAAGAGTTTATCTTGATTGTTGCTGTAAGGTTGGTTGAGCATACCTTCATTAGGTTGCCTGATCTGGTTCTTTTAATTAAATATAACCAATCTTGTATTTCCAGATGATCATGAGGTTGGTGTCAGTACCCAAAAACCAGGGCTTACATTGGACTCACAAGATGTTCAGACACCCGTGACTAACAGTGATGGAGGTCAACAGAAAAAGAAGAGTCCACCAGCTACTCCTGCCTTTAAGAAGCGGCACAGAGGTTGTTCATACTGTATTCTGGACATTGAAAATGCTCCTATTCCACAATTCCCATCTAATGAAGAGGTTGTAGGTGTTATCACCATGGAGGATGTTATTGAAGAACTTCTTCAGGTAAATCTGAAAACCTGGCATACAGGAAATTACAGTCATGCATTCGTGGGGGAGTGTAAGGACCAGCCATCTTTCAGGCGTTCATAAGGGTGTCTTACCTTCCCCGTGATAATAATATTGGTGCTTTATAGTGATATCATCATAATGCATTCCTCTTCCTCTGGTGGTGGCCTGATAGCTGGGAACAACTACTGCCAGTATGTTAAAAAGGTTTATATAGGAATTGCATGTTAATTTCGTTTGCCCTGCTTTCTTATGATAGGAGGAGATATTAGATGAGACAGATGAGTACGTCAATATCCACAACAGGTAAACTTCACCATTTATCCATGTTCATTTGGAATGCTATCTTGTTGAAGTCCATGCCATAGTATCTAATCATGCTATTTAATTGGTTTCTGTCTCTTTCAGTAGTTTCAAAATATAGTTCTAATTTTAGCTCTAGGAAAGATTAACGAGTTAAGTTCTGCACAGATTGCTCTTTTAACCACCCAACCATTGTCTCCCATACAATTGCGAGTAGAGGAGTAAAGTTGGTTAGCATAATCATCATTGATGTCAAAGTAACGACTTTGGCTATCTTGTTAATGCAGGATAAAGATCAACATGCACGCATCCCAGGAAGATGCTCTGACTTTGAACTCGACACAACCTTTTTCAACTGGCACCTCTGTCACCGGCACCCTGACCCCTGCATCACCAATGCCTGCGGGACATCTCCCTCAACATTCCCCCGTCTCCCCCAACTTGGCAGCCCCTGGTCCCACACCAACCCTTTCAATCTCTACCAGTACTTCAAATGCAGGTTCACCTGCCACAACACATTAGACTTCAGGAGAAGACTCATTAAAGGATAGGTGAAACTTCAGCTTTTTCACATTTTCCCTATGAAGTGATAATCAAATATAGACCGAGCCAGAAAAAACATACAAGCTAAGGATTAGTTACTTGGTAAGAATCAATGGCGTACCCTACTTAAATATCAGGCATGCTGCCTGTAGGAAACATGCAATCATATAGAGAGAATGGATGCGTCATGTGTTCTGGTTTAATAGATAAGAACTCAACTAGACAACGTTCGATGTAGATAGATCATGATTGTTTTATGTAAAGTCAGCATGAAATCATCAGTTTTCATTTATTTCAAAGCATTCATACTCAAAACTCAATACTCTTTTCTTGAAGAGAATGGCACGAAGATGGCAAGTAGAATGGAGAAGAAATGTAGTTGTTCCTTTTTTTTCCTTTTTATTTCTCAAATTCATATATTAGACACTGGGAAGCTGATTTCCAAGAAGATCTATCAAGTCATACCTCTTATCAACCAGACACAAGTACTCTGAGATTTTTCCTTTGGTCAGGAGATCAGGAGATTTTGCTTTCAAGTTCGAACTGAATAATCAAACATGGTGTAAAGTATTAAGATTTCATGGCCTTAGATTTAATAGTCGTCTTCCTTCTTTAACCAGGTAAATATGGTTACAAAAAGTTCTCATAGTTCCTTGATCTTAACCCCTTCCTCGTGCTATGATCCCACTATGCTAGTATCATAATTGCCCTTTTAAAGAGGTAAAAATGGCTCAAAAAAATTCCCATAGTTCCTCGATCTTAACTCCTTCCTGCTATGATCCTACTGTACTAGTATCATAATTGTGCCTTCAATGAGGTACAAATGGCTACAAAAAAGCCTATTCACAGTTCTTTGATCTTACCGTATCACTCAAAATATAAATTTAAAAATTTAATTAAATATAATAAAAAATAAAAAATTATTTAAAATTTTAAATAATTTTGTAAATTTAATTTCTCAATAGTTTTCTCCTTACCAAATAGATTGGGACGTTTGCCAAGATTCCTGGGCTGTCTTTCGCAGACCGTCGAGGTTCAGGCGGGCTGCACATTGTCTTGCGCGAGCTGACCAGTGATCCAATTTAGGGGATTGCATTGCTAGACGGCTCGAGTCCTGACCACAACAAAGTCCAAACGAAAACAACCCAAAGAAGAAATTCTCAAAATTTAAGGACTCAATATGGGTCACTTCCGTAGTAAGCGGCTATGATATCTGAGACTTAGATGTGCCAAACTGCCATTCCTTTACACCGAAGTGACGAAGCCACTATCTGGACAAGCGTAATCTCAACGGTTTTCAAACACTTTCCAGTTGTTTGTCTCTCTTTATCATCAAAGATTTTTACTCTTTTTCCATCCTTACAAGTATGGAAATTGGAACCTAGTAACAATTCTGTTCTCTGTCACCTTCTGTTTCTTCCCTTCTTTTTACCTTAATTGTGGATAACTTTGTCTTTTAAGACTAAGATACTAAATCAATTATAAACTCGGTTGGTGACACTGTTCCAATTCTACCTAAATCGGGTTGGTTGAATCTCATCTTTACCTTTGATTTGATTTCAATAGAACAAAGACTAAATAGTATAGAACTTAGCTTAGCTTTAGCCGTTTTCCCAATCCGGGTACTCCAAAATTTTACTTCTTCGAAGGCTAATATTTATTGGAACTCTAAAGCTGATTTGCAGCTCCACGTTTTTTCTAGCTCCACATAAGATCTTCATCTCCTTACTTCAGGAAGTTGGGTTTTTTAGCCGAATCTTGTTACAAATAAATACATTTTGGCGGATTCGTTCTTTTTTTTAAAAAATCTGAGTATATTGGATATCCTTGTTGGGTGTGCTGTTTTGTCTCAGAAGTTGCTTACTTCAAAGAACATCTTTTGAGAGAGAAACAGAAAGAAAGACATGGCTTTGGCTCGATTTGTTCGCCAAACTAAGCGCCCACATGGGGTTTGTGTGAAGATGACAGCAGTGGCAATATTGGGTCTTTGTTTTATTTCTGTTTGGTCCATGTTCTCTTCTCCTTCTACTTCTGTTACTGTGCAAAGGGAGAGCTTTGATGACATCGCTGAACCTGTAGCTTCAGGCACAAGGGTAAGCAAATCTAAGGGGGATGAATTAGAAAATCATAGTTCAAGTGGTCAAAGGAAGAAGGTTGAATCTGGTTCGAAGAAAAAGGATGAGAAAAAAGTTACTGGGTCTTTGCCTTTACCTGCTCATGAACATAAATCTGGGAAAAAGAATGAGAAACATGTGTCAAATAGGAAAAAAGAGAAGGATAAGTCAAAGTTACCTAGTGGGGCGTCAAAGGAGAATGAAGAGCATCGGGAGCGAGAAGAGTCTCAGGGTGAAGAAGCAGAAAAGGAGAATGAAAATGAAGAAGAAGAAGAAGTGGTAGTGGATGGCAAGGAAGAAGGATTGGATAGTGAAGAAGAAGGTAATGGGGAGACTGAAGGCGATGGTGATCTGGATGAATCAGTAGATCAAGAGACTCAGGAGAAGGTGGAAAATGAGAATGAAAGATTAAAAAGCGAAGGGAAGAAGAGAAAGATCAAGGGTCCAGTCTTTGATCCGAAAGCACATTATAGTTGGAAATTATGTAGCACAAGGAGCAAGCATAATTATATGCCCTGTATTGATGTTGAAAGTGGCTTCACAAGGCTGCAGAGCTATAGGCATAGAGAGAGGAGCTGCCCAAAATCCCCTCCAATGTGTCTTGTTCCTCTTCCCCACGATGGTTATGATTCTCCAGTGCGCTGGCCTGAGAGCAAATTCAAGGTATATATATTGAGGTTTATTTGTTCTATGTTTTGAGTTTGACTATTTGCTGGTGCATTTTGAGTTCTGATGTGGAGTCAATCTAATCGTTTTGCAGATATTGTACAAGAATGTGGCACATCCAAAACTAGCTGCATACTTGAAGAATCATAACTGGTTGATTGAATCTGGAGAGTATATGATGTTTCCTCAGAACCAGTCTGAATTCAAGGGTGGAGTTGTTCACTACCTTGAATCCATTGAAGAAGTGAGCCTTTCTTGTTGCCTGATTTGAATGAAAGTTTATGGATCTTCTGTTCCTTCTTAGGCTTCAAACTTAAAAATATCATTAGCTTGTAGCATGTATACTGGAGGAGATCATTCTGTTATGATATGATAATCTGGTTATCATGTTAGAAGTAGACTTTACCTATATCATCTCTGTGACAAAGTTCTGCCGTGTTTCACATCTAATGTCTTGGTCAATGAGGGAACTGGTAAAGATAGGTGAAATTCAACTCCCTTTTTCTCCATAATTTGGTTTGGCCTAGTTTAAAAATGCCTGTTCATTTTGCACTGAGCTAACTGAAAATGAGATTTCTTAAGTTTCTGCTGCCGAGAATGGACAATTTTATGGATTGTAATTTTAGTTTTCTTTGGTAACTAGAAAGTAATAGCTGCTACACTGGATAATGGTTGAACCTTTATGTTGTCAACCTTTCCTTGTTTTAGCATTTTTAAAATTTGAGTGGATTTCATAGATGGTACCAGATATTGAATGGGGAAAGAATATACGTGTAGTGCTGGATGTTGGATGTGGAGATTCAAGCTTTGTGGCCTCTCTTCTTGATAAGGATGTATTATCGTTATCACTGGGCTTGAAGGATGATCTAGTTGACCTAGCGCAGGTTTCCCTTGAACGTGGTTTTGCTACAGTTGTTAGCCCTTTTGCAAGAAGAAGACTTCCTTTTCCTAGTGGAGTTTTTGATGCTATTCATTGTGGTGGGTGTACCTTGCCTTGGCATTCCAATGGTATGTGTTCGCTTATCCCTCTTTGTCCTTTTCTTTTAAATTTACTTCCCATTACAATTCTCATTGATTTTGATAAGATAACAACTTTTCTTGTTTTAAAATTTCAGGGGGGAAGCTTCTTCTAGAGATAAATCGGATTTTGAGGCCTGGTGGATACTTTATTTTGTCAACTAAACATGACAGCATTGAAGCAGAAGAAGGTTTGTCCTTTTTTTTAATTTGTAAGATTTATTATGCTTGAATACAGAAATGATGTTGCCATATGCCTTCCTTTGAAAATTATTGTCTGTCAGTGCATCAAAAATTAAAAAAAAAAAGAAGACAATTCTTGTCTGTCATTTGCCTTTTTTATTTATGGTGATGCTGATTTTCACTGATGTACATGTGCTAAAGTTTTGTGAAGTTGTATGTGTATTGCCTCCATTATGGATCTGATTCTGGGGCTGTGGTCCATAGGAGACCATTGAGTGGATAACCATGGGTTGGTTATTTTTAGACAGACATCGCGATGCATGCACTGGACGGTTTTCCAGACCTTAATGAACTCAAAAGTATTGTGCTTAAATGCAACTATGACCTGTAATATTGGATGTACCGGTTTCTAACAACAGAGTCAAGTAAAGCCCTATGAGTTTTCTATTTATTTATTCTTTCTATTAACAAACATTCTTTACTTCAATAAAAAAAATATGAACTAGGATTTTACATTCTTAGTATTTTTGTACAGTTTATGGAATTTATCTAGTCTCTTCTGTTAGGCTTCATTTGCTGTGTGGTAGAAAGACATGGCCAACTACATACAAAATTGAATTTCTATGAAACTTTTGGCTGTTTTTCGGTTGGTTGTCTGCCACTGGCCATGTGTTTAATGTGTTTTCCTTTTTCATTTTTTGGGTGCAATGTTTTTTGCTTCTTTATTTAGCAAAAGAACTGCTCTTTTATTGTATGATGATTTTCACCTCTGACGCTTTTGTTTGCTCCAGCTATGAACACATTGACTTCTTCTATCTGTTGGAATATTCTCGCTCATAAAACTGATGAAGTCAGTGAAGTGGGTGTTAAGATATATCAGAAGCCCGAATCCAATGATATATATGAGTTGAGGAGAAAGAAAAATCCACCTTTATGCAAGGAGCATGAAAATCCAGATGCTGCCTGGTAAGCTAAGACTCACATCCTTTACCACCAAGTGTATCTTTTTATTTTTAACACAAATTTCATCGACTTGATTATACTCATTATTTAATATACTTTATTAAAAAAAGAGTTGACATTTAATTCATCTAAAAACAAGAATTAATAGTTAATTTCCAAAATACCTAGCATTTGCCCCCGGTGTTCTTAGTGCCTGGCTAAAGTACGATTCTCAATTGTGGGAATCATGTAGGAAGTTAAATTCCTACCCACTTAAAATTGGGCATTATAAATCGTTATTAATAATAATAGATATAGATGATCAAATTGAGTTTGCATGAAGCATAACCGTGCTTAACCTAACTTACTGATTTTATTGGTACTCTAATTTATTAATGGCTACAACATTTTGTTCTGATAGGTATGTCCCTATGAAAACTTGCTTGCATGCCATTCCATCTGCAATTGAACAACACGGAACTGAGTGGCCTGAGGAATGGCCTAAGAGGCTTGAAACATATCCTGATTGGTTGAATGACAAGCAAAAAGCCATTGATGACACCAAGCGCTGGAAAGATATTGTTGACAAGTCCTATCTCACTGGAATGGGAATTGACTGGTCAACTATCAGGAATGTAATGGACATGAAAGCCATCTATGGAGGGTATGGCTACTGTACAACTAAATACTAGTAATATATATTCCTTACATAATATTGTATCAAGTAATGAAGTTGAAATGTTTCTGTTAAAATACAGATTTGCCGCTGCACTCTTACAACAGAAGATTTGGGTGATGAATGTGGTCCCTGTCCATGCGCCAGATACGCTTCCCTTGATTTTTGAACGTGGACTTATCGGAATCTACCATGACTGGTGCGAGTCGTTTGGGACTTACCCAAGATCATATGACCTCTTGCACGCTGATCATTTTTTCTCCAGGCTAAAGAACAGGTTAGTTACCATTAAAGTTTGCTTCTATGCTTAATATGCCTCAGGATGATGGATCATCTGTCCTGCTCACTCCATTAGTGGGTCATCAATCATTATCAAATGATAAAATATCACTCTTTTTATAGGTGCAAGCAGCCTGTTTCAATAGTTGTTGAGATGGATCGTATTCTACGTCCTGGTGGTTGGGTAATCGTGCGTGATAAGGTTGAGATACTCGATCCGCTAGAGGGTATTTTGAGAAGTTTACATTGGGAGATCAGAATGACTTATTCTCAGAACAAGGAGGGTATCATATGTGCACAGAAAACTACATGGCGACCTTGAGAGATCCCTTCATATGTACATTCCTTCACAAACTTCACAACACCATGCATTCTCTTCTCTTTTACTGAAGCATATTGAGAAGCCTCTTTGTTTGCCTTCCTTCTAGACTCTGATTGTTCATTTTTTTTCCTGGGATATCTGTAAATTAATCATTTATAACACAGTCAATTCAATTTGATCTTCTCAAAGTTCATCAGTTGTACTTCAATTTGTTCTTACTTTGCAGCCCTTCAATTTGTAAAAGGGAGATTACCAGATGACAAGATTATTAACAAGATCAAATATTTTCTCCATAAGAAAGATCAAAGAAAATGCCATGAATTCAAACAAGTCGGATCGAAGCGGGGGATGCTGATTAGCATGGTTGGGCCCAGAAATCTAAATCAAACAAGTGGATTGGAGATATATAAAGGGAAGCATTGGACAACCCAATAAGCCCAATAGGACTTGGATATCGGTTTCAGGCTTTCAGAATTCAGCTCAGGATCTCTGCATGCCACGTTAATTAGAACAAGCTCCGGATGCCGACAATGGTGGACAACGCAATAGGCCCACTATTAACTGTTTTTTAAGCCCATAATCTTAACCATTAATTGTGGCCCATTAAGCCCAATACATAAATTCTGGTTTTAGCCCCCAATTTTCTGCATGCCGAAGCTTTGCCACATCGCCGCCGTTTTCTTCCCTCCACTTCCTCACCGAGTTCACTCACCACGACGACGGTGGCCCTCTACACGCTCACGTCTCAGTTCCTCTAAAACCCACCAAAAACCCAAACCCTGAACAAGAAATACATAAGAAATCCAAACATGTCCCCATCTTCACTCTCCGCGCGCCTCACCCTGCTGGCCCTCGTCTCGGCCACCACTTTTTACTTCCTCTACAAGTCCCGCCGCCGCCTAAAACCCCTCAGACAACTCCCTATAAACCCTGATCCTAGAAAAGGCAAGCTCTTCTTCATCACCCAAACAGGAACATCCAAAGCCTTGGCCCAGCGCCTTCTCAACCTCCTCTCCTCCAACAACATCCCTTTCGACCTCGTCGATCCCCAAAACTACGAGCCCGAGGACCTCCCTAAGGAATCCCTGATCCTTATCATCGCTTCCACGTGGGAAGATGGAAACCCTCCTCAAGGCTCAAAGTTCTTCGTCAATTGGCTCGCCGAAATCAGCACCGATTTTCGCGCCGGGAATTTGTTACTCTCCAATTGTAAATTCGCCGTCTTTGGAGTCGGGAGCCGGGTGTACGGAGAAACGTTTAATGCGGTGGCGAGGGATTTGGGGAAGAGGTTGAGAGGGTTGGGGGCAACGGAGATGGTGGCAGTTGGGGAAGGTGACGTGGATGGGGGTGCATTAGAGAGTGTCTTTAAAGAGTGGAGTGAAAAAGTAGTCAGGGTTTTGAAAGGAGGATTGGCGGTGGAGAATGAGAATGGAATTGTTTACGAGAGTGATGCTGAAAGCCTTGAAAGTGACGGTGATGATGATGGTGGAGGAAGAGAGGAAGAAATTGTTGATCTTGAAGATATTGCAGGCAAAGGGCCGTCGAGGAAGAAGGCGGTTAATGCAGCTGAAACTAATGCAAAAATGGATGGGAAAAGAGAGATGGTAACTCCAGTTATCAGAGCCAACTTGGAGAAGCAGGTAACTTGGTTTAAGTGGATATGAATCTTTTGTTGATGAAGGCATTTCATTGTAGTGATTGGCTGATGTTAGTATGTAATTGCATTCTATGGTATAATTCACATCCTTTAACTGGTGGGATTTTACAGGGATATAAAATTATTGGTTCACATAGTGGTGTTAAAATCTGTAGATGGACCAAGTCGCAACTTAGAGGACGAGGAGGTTGCTACAAGCACTCATTTTATGGGATAGAGAGCCATAGGTGATGGCAACTTTCTTTTGCTCCTATTAAGCCTTTGATGATCATTTAGTTGAATCTGTTTTGAATGTCATGTGATATGTTAATATTTTCTTTTCCCACCCTTATCCAAAAAGAAGGTTGGAGACTTGGAAACACACATCTTGTTAGTCTATAAGTTGTTGTTAGTTGCTCTTATGTACATCTGTATATAGCGAGTTTGATTGTTTTATAGAGTTCATAGTGGTGAATCATCACTTTTTATTCTACTTCAATTGCATTGTGCTTAGAGTTTGTCCATTCTATACTTTGTGGTCGCGGCTTTAGACCTGCAATTGAAAGTAGTTTAACTTTTGAATGGAACAGATGCATGGAGGCTACCCCTAGTTTGGCATGTGCTAACAAATGCGTTTTCTGCTGGAGGCATCACACAAATCCTGTAGGAAAGAGTTGGCAGTGGAAGATGGATGATCCCTTAGAGATTGTCAATACTGCTATAGATCTTCATACCAAGATGATTAAGCAAATGAAAGGAGTTCCTGGTAAATATCATATATTTGTTCTAATTATAGTATCTCTTTGGGACTACAGAATTTACTGTACTTAACTTTTCCTTGTACTAAATAAGTATCTGACTCAACACAATTTAATAATTATTCAGTGACAAGTAATAACTGACAGGATTAGAATGTCCACAAAGTTATTTCTTACAACATAGACACTTGGACACAGGGTTACAAGAAAGATCTGTCCATTGCATTTACAGGAGAATTTTACTCATTCTACTGCTGCAGGTGTTACACAAGAGCGATTGACGGAAGGCCTAACCCCTCAGCACTGTGCCTTATCACTTGTTGGTGAACCCATTATGTATCCAGAGATTAATATGCTTGTGGATGAGCTGCACCAAAGGCGAATCTCTACCTTTTTAGTAACTAATGCACAGTTCCCTGACAAAATCAAAATGCTGATGCCTATAACACAGGTTTGTTGGCTGTGAATCTCTGTTGTTAAGGAATAATAAATGTCAAAAAGTCTTCTGCTCTTGATTAACCTGGTCAATCTCTTTTACTCATGCAGTTATATGTGAGTGTAGATGCTGCAACCAAGGATAGCTTGAAGGCAATTGATAGGCCACTCTTTGGGGACTTCTGGGAAAGATTCATTGTGAGTATTTTATTATTGAAAAATAAAATTGAGTTATATCATTATGGATTGGGGCAAAACAAATTAGGGATGGAGAAGAGATATGACGTCAAGTAGAAAGATGACAGGATCAAAAGTCTTGAATCCTAAACTAGCAGGCTACATGGGAGTGTGAAACTTACTTCCTCTAAAAACTTGATTTAGAAGCTATAGCTGCACTTACCCTGCTTTGGAGATCATATTGGCAGACCCCCCCCTTAAATCCCAATCTAAAATAGCTTTCTATTTGTATTATTATGAAATGGTATTTTATTAACTGCAATGTTGAAAATCCCTAACATGTCATGGTCAGTTATATTTGTAAGAATGAACTCCTTCTTCATGTTCACAGCAGCTTGTACCATGAAGAAGTTTACATATTCCATAGGCATTTTTGAGAGTTTTTATTTGGGTGGCCTGAAGTTCCGTTTCCTTACTGGTAATATCTTTTGTTCAGGATTCCTTGAAAGCTCTCAGAGATAAACAACAACGAACTGTATATCGCTTGACTCTCGTGAAAGGGTGGAATACAGAAGATGTAGATGCTTATTCTAAACTATTTAGCATTGGGAAGCCTGATTTTGTTGAAATCAAAGGCGTAACATACTGTGGATCGTAAGTCTTTTGGTCTTATTGTTGATTGTATCATTTTATATCTGCAACACTGTCTGCCCTTGATCAGTCATGTTGATCTTTTTTACAGTTCTGCCACCTCAAAGTTGACAATGGAGAATGTGCCTTGGCATTCTGATGTGAAGGCTTTCTCAGAGGCATTGGCTCTGAAAAGTGAAGGGGAGTATGAGGTAGCATGTGAACATGCACACTCGTGCTGTGTCCTCTTGGCCAAAACAGATAAGTTCAAGGTCAATGGCCAATGGTATACATGGATAGACTACGAAAAATTCCATGACCTGGTTAGTAACAGCATCAATTTGGTCATTTGCAGTGTCTCTGGACTATAAATTTCTTTCTGCTTCAAACAATTTGTTTCTTGTCGATGATGCAGGTGGCTTCAGGTGAACCTTTCGACAGTGCGGACTACATGGCTCTCACTCCATCCTGGGCTGTCTACGGAGCTGAAGAAGGTGGATTCGATCCTGATCAGTCTCGGTACAGAAAGGAGCGACATCACAAGTCAAATCGCTGAGCAAGTTGGAGATTTGTATTTTTTATTAGCCAATATATCTATTTTTACTACCAAGCATTCTTTGCATTTCAACAGTTTTGCTTTAGTTTGGCCATACGTAATGGAAAAAGGTCTGATCAAATGATAGTTTTCTGCCTGCAGGCTGCAGCACTGTTGTATCCAACAATTTTGAGTTTAGTTTGGCTATACGTGTTTGATGGTTCAATGTGGTCTTCCCATGTGGCCAAATTCAATTGGAAACAAGGCATGCTTTTAATCCAAAAGGCGACATAAATTACAAGCAAAGTTGGATCTTTACGGTCTCTGCCTGGGTCTAACCAGTTTGCCATCCTAAAGAAAAAGATCATTCTCAAAAGATGTCCAGGCCTTTGTACAATCAGCATCTGACCGGACGAGACTAAGCAGCTCAATAATTTACCCTAAGCCCAAAGCAACCCCTATAAATTTATTGACTTTGACAGATGGGTCATTCCCTACTGGGAAATGTCTCTATCAATTGTAGAACCAGTTTCTTGTTTAAACGTAATATCCTGTCCCTCTTGTTGGACTTCCTCGTCTGTTTTGTACCCCCACTGTCATCTTAAAACATGGTTACTTGTCATTTTTCGATAACCTTTTAGGTTAGAGACGATTGCAGATTACAGTGTGAAAAAGAACTCTTTTTAACTGTTGTTAACAGGGCGACCTCCTAGATTCTCTTTATGTCCTGAATGTCTCTGCGGTTGAGATGCTATCAAAGATTTGCAAGAATCAGGTTGGCCGTTTCTTGGGCCTTTAATTGTTAAATCAAAAAATCAATCAAGGCCTGTGACTGGATGACAGCAAGATTTGTGTTGGAGGACACAAACTCAGGCCTGTGCCATATATGCACCGCACTACTTCACTTGCTACATCTTTGCAAACACACAGTGCTTGCTTAGCAACATCTCAATTCTCAAACTCAGGCTTAAGCTTTTGCACTTGCCCTTGCTGAGTGTGGTACTGCAATTTGCAAAGTTTCACTGACAGTGTCAAGCATGGAGAAACAGTGCTTGCAAAAATGGTTACCAGCTTCCATTTTAGTGCAGCTAAAGTGATATTAAGCAAAGGGTTTCAAGCTCTAGAATAATATGGTGAAATTCTGGTGCAGTGTGCAACCCAATACAACAGTAGCTTTAGCTTTGCGACTCTCAGGTGGGGGCATTGAAACAAAACAACTTGTCAAAGATAGCCAGGGTACGGATACGGAACGGGTCCCACGAGCAAGAGCGCGTGTCAACAACGCGTGGACATGGTTTGTGGCGAGTGGCAATAACTCTTCTCTTGCCTCTTCTGCTACTTCTTTTTCTTACAACAAGTAGACAATTGAATTGAGTAAAAGATTTTTGGTACGCAAAAACGTTTTCCTATTAAAGGACATCTGTCTTACTATCCTACTGCCCTCTGTCTCTCTTTCTTCTACGCCCCCACCCCTCCCTCTCTTACAGTAACTTCGTCTTCCACCTTCTTGACTTTTGTCTAGCACCAGTAGCCTAAAATCAACGCCACGCGCCACTATATCACTTGGCTATCACCTGCCACTCAAGTTTCGTGGTAAAGAAAGAACCCAGCAGAGTCGGAGATTGCCCATTGGCTTACTAAGGCGGCTGGAGGCTGGCGTTGATGATAGCTTAGGGCGTGGCAATCACGTCCAAGTGGAAATGGAAATGAGTTGGCAGCAGTTTTCCGCCCCTTTATTATTTTTGTCCTAGCAAATTGTAAGTTCATAACTCAGCGGCAGCAACAGCAAAATACCCCTCCCACTAAGTTTTTTCCTCTTCACCCCTTCCAATCCCCTTCACTTACCCCTCTCATTCAATGTCACTAAACATTAAAATTCCTACGTTATGGAGTAAACCAAACAAAACCCCTTTGGGGTCTCAGTTTCTTTATCCACCAATGTGCTAATAGCTAGGTTTCTTTTCCTTTACTAAGCCTATCTTTTTGTTTAGTATTATAATGACAAAAGGAATAAATGCTGTCAACTAATCATAATTAGAACGAAAAGATGCAGTATAAAATGAAAAATATGTAGAGTTGAATCAACTCTAATCTCGTTTAAGCAGTGTTATTTGGCTAACTTTTTAAGCTTTGTTTGCTTATACAGAAAATATATGGGGATAATTAAGGAAGAATTATTAAGAAGCCCAATTACTACAATAAAGAGAAGAAAAAATGAGCAAGACCCTTTCTATTATGCTTTTCTGTGTTTACATTTGAAAGAAATAAACTGATAAAGCAACAAATTTCCAAGGAACCAAGAACCTTCATCTTCAATCTTTAATCAACATGAAAAGCAAAACCATTTTGATGTTCTTTTCCTGGAGCTAACCATTTATGTATTCAAGAAAGGAATAAAAAAACAAAAAGAAGAAGAAGGAAGGATTTACCACAATTTGTAAAGGAAATTAAAACAGGAGACAGCAAATACCAGTTAAAAGCAATTTTAGCTGCTCTTTCTGGGTTGGCTTTTTCTTCTTGATCTCCTTCTTGGAGGCTCACTCGTCATGGATTGTCCCACAGGAGTTGATGATGCCTCTGCCTTCGCTTGTGCCTTTTCCTCATGTTGCTCTTGTTCTTGTTCTTGTTTCTGTTGTTCTTCTTCCGCTGTAACTTTTACTTTCTTTGATTGGTTTTGACTAACTTCTGCTGCTTCCTCTTCTTTTCTCTCGTCAGTTTCAGTTTCAGTTTCACTTTTCTCAACATGTTTTCGAGGTCTACCTCTCTTTCTACGAGGCTGAGCCTGAGGCTGTGTTTGTTGCTGGACCTCTTCTCCTCCTCCTCCTGTTGAAGCCTCAGCGATTGCTACTGAAAGTTCCTTGGTCTTTTGAGGCTTCTTACCCATCAAATGTTTTCCCTATCAATAAAGCTCTTATTCAACAACCAATACAAGTTATCATAAACCGAAACAAACCGTCAAAATCAAATCTTCAATGACTCTTTTCTCTTTGATGTTTGCAGCTCTTTTCACCCTTCTGTATATTGAATCCAAAAATCCATTCCAACTGTTACAAGAAAAGAAATCTTGTAGTATTCTCCCTTGGAATATATTTTTTATGCAAGAACCTAAAGCAACTGGACCAATATCTTTGACTGGTATCCAGATTCTGGAAACCCCATTAACTCAATCTCTCCTTTTCCCTTTCTTTTCCTCTCCCTCTCTCTCTCTCTCTCGCCCTTTCTCTTATTCTATTCTATATATCAACAACCCGATACCAACAGCAACAGTATCTGCTTCTATTTGCAAAGAATAAACAAAGCTCAAAAGCTCAAAAAAGCCATTAAAATCACCTTTCCTTTTCTTTGTCTATCAACCCCATCCATCTATATATGTCCTATTCCTTTGCAGCAGAAGAAAAGACAAGCAGGAGGAAATGAGGTCGAAAGCTATCCTATTTCATTCACCCCCCTTTTTTTCTATTTTATTAAACATATTATATATATATAATGAAAATAAAGAAGCTCTTCTAATTAATAAAGGTGGCTAACACTAACCATGGTTAAACGCTTTGGTTTGTGTCTCTCTTTATATAACAGGGCATTTGGATTAATTTGATTTTCCCTAGGAAGAAATAAAGAGTCCTAACCGAAAGTGATAGCCATAGCCTGATAGGTATCATGATGTAGTATAGAATAAAATGATTCTTGAATTCTTCGTTTCATTGCCTTTTTCTAGAAAAAAATTAACATTTGAACTTTAAACGTCAGCATATAATCTAAGTTATGTTTATTTACTCATAATTCAGTTTGCTAATCATATAGAATCTGGGTTTTGTTATACTGACAGAACATACAGATTCAAACAGGAGTAGACAATAGAACATGCCTGGCAGAGCTTGCGTGCATTTTCATTTCAAGTCGTCAGGATGATACTCGAAACTTTTTTGATTTCGATACGAGTACTAAAAATCTTATTCGAATTCTATGTTATTCGAATCAGAATACACGAATATTTGTATAAAATCAATCGGGTTCACATCCCTGGACCAAAGCCTGGTACTAATACAAGGGTAAATGAAGTTGAAATCGTAGACTGGCCGAGCAAGGGCGTCATCGTCGTTGTCCTTACAGGTATGGCTAAGACAAACCATGGTTAAAATGGCGAAGAGTTTACACCAAACTGAGTTTGTCTTTCACATCTAGGGGCTTTTGCCGCTTTGGGTTTGATTTTACGTGGGTAAAGGTTGGTGTACTGTACGACTCAGACCCAGTGTCTCAGTCTGACCACTTGTGTCCCTTCGCGGGGCTTCACGTCCACCAGCTATGTTCCCCTGTTGTTCAAGTGCACCAAGTTCATAAATTTCGACCGCCGATCAGAGCCCAAAGAAAGAAATAACTATTGCAGATTGTAGGCATTGACACTAGACAATTAGGTAAGTAAAGATTTCCACAAAGAAACGACGATTGCGTGAGTGGTACAAGTTTCATCGCTACCTTTCCTTCTCTCTAAGAATCATAATGATGGACTAAGAGGAAAATATTGTACTAGTACTACTCTCTACTGCACTCGAATTTGTATTTTCCTTGCATAAACAATAGTGAAGGAAGAATAAAAAGTGTACTCAATCTAACTTGCATATGCTCATGCAGGTATTATTCTACAGAGACAGCAAAGATTTTCCTTCTTGCTTCAGTTGTCTAGTTTCCTGGTCCTATCTACCACAAACTTATGGACCTTTATTTTCATTAAATCTATAAAGATCAATCACAGAACCATTTCATAAGAAAGATGGATAATCCTTAAAAGGAAGCATTTTATCAAGCTAATAAGATTCTGCAACTCGTCAATATCTGCAGCTTACGAGATCAATTATGCAGTGTTCAAGAGCATTCCTCATGTTATGCAAGTTAAGCAAACTCTAAAATGCAGGTATCAAATGTACAGTAAACTTGGCAGACAGCTAAGAGCAATACAACTAGCACAGAAGCAATGGATTGCAACACATTCATGTCGAATCAACCAGCTCTTCCGTCGCTTGGTAGGGACCGTGACTCTAAGAATAGCCTTATGGTTGAGTGGATTAGAGAAGGTTCTGCCATTGCGCCATTTCCATAGTCCCCACAAGCTAGTCGCTTTGTGACAGGTGGGATGAGAGAAATTCCAAGCTCATCAATTGACATGAGATGTTTTTCTGTGAAAGGGTTGGTCCACATGAAAGTGTTCATAGATGGTGCAACAAACAGTGGCTTGCTATAGTCCCATGCTCGCACAATACAAGTTAGCAAATTGTCACATAATCCCCCCGCAATCTGCGTTAAAGATAAAAAAATGCTTAAGAGAAGAGTTACAATCATATCAAAAAATATAACCATTTAAGTAACAAAACAGCTTTGCAAAAAGGGGACATCAAAAGAATATGAGAGCAGAAAAAAGGTAATTCTCAGATACATGAATACTTGTAAGTTCATTTTCTCATTACAATAAACTACTGGTCAACAAATAATTGACAGAGAGCATCAAACAAGCAGTTTCTTTCCAAATAAAGCACATCCTAAAAATTCAAATTAAGTGACTTTTAGGCATTCTCTCCACTCATTGTCAATCTCCTTTCCTTAACATGCACGTATAATGTGAAGCATCCCTTCAACAGTTAATACAAGGAACAAATAGAGGAACAAAAATTATACCAAAAGATGGCCAGATCATATTACCTTGCCAAGCGTGTTTGCTGACAATGGGGCAATGACCATAATATCGGCCCATCGACGAAGCTCAATGTGAAGCACGTTGTCACCTATTATTTTCCAGCTGGACCATTCATCCTCATCAGTATAAACACTTACATCCCTAGGAATCGATGCTCTATCAATGAAATGCAAAGAGGCTTTTGTGACAACTGCTTTTACTTCTGCCCATTCAGAGAAACAATGGCAGAGATTGCCAAACTTTATGGCAGCTACACTTCCACTGGCAGCAAGCAAAATCCGGGGTTTTCTGTTAGTAAGATTGACCTGCATCATTTCCCTCACTGCATTTTGAGGTTCAGGGTATGCCATAACCTATACAAAAAATTGCCATCAATTTCAAAGTCGATAAAGCACACAAAACATCAATCTTGAGAACTAAAAGATAGAAATGCAGCAAGCCAGCAACCAAGAACCAAACAAACTATCTCTAAGCATTTTAGCTCCACATCAAATACAATTAATTGTTATATGGTTTACATAGAATATTAAGGATTTTAAAATGAGAAAAACCATGAGCTAACCAAGTTATAATCCAAGCTCTAAAATTTTTAGTCAAATCCACATGCATTTCTCCCTATTCAACGCCAGAGGATCAATGAAAACTCACAAATCAACAAAAGAAAAATGCTATGAAAAATAATAGTAATAATAACAATAAAAAAGAAATCTTTTTACCGCTCAAAATCAACTGTCAGTCTTCTTTCTAATTCAACTACCAGTTAATTACAATCCCAGAAGAAGAACGTGCAAGAACTATACAACTAAATCGAAAGTAAAAAACCAAAATCCATCCCCACAAGAAAAGCACTTTCTCACAAGAACAAATTGAACTTACATTTCTTTGACACGAAACTTTAAACCCACCTCAAATTCAGGATACAGAACAATTAGGCTTGCAGAAATTCAAGATTAAAAAGAAAGTAGGCAAGACAACTCCAGTTCTAGAACTTTTATTTTGCGTAAAAAGAAAAAGAGAAAAAAAAGAGATACTCACTTAATCACGTGGAATCCAAGATCAGAGTAGAACAAAGGATCTGGGCTCTGGAGTTCAGATTCTCTTGCGACGCCAAAGAACCAAAAGAAAAAGGAAGTAGCAGAGATTTGGCTGACGAAGAAGCGCGAGACTGGAGCTTTCAAAAATGCCCCCTGCTGCAAAACAATTGTTAGTGATCTGTTGGCCTAGCCTTCTCCTTTTGTACTATTTCGTTTTTCCTTTTTCACAGCAGAAATGCCGGGATTGTGATGGTTGGGGTGCCGCTCCTTTTGTTCTCACCTGCACTAAAAGGGTTGTTGGCACTGGGCTTTTGGTTTTGGGAATTGGGCCATCTCTTTAAGCGGTGCCGCTCTATCCACATAGTTGGGGTTTGGTCTGGTTTTCCCATCTATGTATGCGAATGAAAGCGGGCATTGTGTTATGCAAATGAAAGATGCTCCTTGGTGAAACCAAAGTATTCATTTGGGCAGTTGAGAGTTGAACTACTAGCATCGATTGTGGTCCATGGATTGGAACAAAAAGGTGCTTTCCCATAGCCCATGGTTTTCCCCCACCAACATTAAGTTTAAATGATTGCATGTTGTCTTAATCTCTTACAGAGCTTTAAATTTACTCAACCACTTTCAATAGGAAAGTGCTCCTACTTTTGTGCTTATGAAGTGCAAACAGGGCAATATTAAGGTTAGCAATGGCAATAGGCTCAAAGGTCATTGGGCACAAACGCCCATTTCTGGTTAAGGCTTGTTTTTACAATTCCTCACCAATGAGGCCCAATGGGTGAGGGGCCTATATATAAATTTTATTGATGAGTTCATGGCGGACAGGCAACGTGCCAAAGACCATGTGGGCATAGATAGCCGTTGGTTACTCCAGACAAGGCAAGGCAGGACATCCCTTTCAAACGACACCAGCCTTGTAAATGCAAAATACTCTGTGCTGCTAATCGGATAAGATCATAGAATACTTAGCCCATCTCCCTAACCATAGAAAAGTAAAAAAAATTGTAAAAGTCATCAAAAAGTCCCATCACTCAATTTTAAATTTGGGGACAACCCAATTTGGAGATGCCAAGGATACTATAGCCTCTATAACTAAAAATTAAGAAAATAAAAGACAAAAATTAAGAAAATAAAAGACAAAGATTGCTACAGTAGCTATATATAAAATGCTAGAGGTATCTGGAGCTTTGGAGACTAGAGGCCTTGCATGTACTTATCCACTCATTTTCATAGAATCAAAAGCTTTAATCGTAGAGGTTGAAAGCGATTTGAGAGGTCACTAGCTGGAAGAGTTGGATTATTTGAATTGGTTGGAGACAACTTATGTTTCTGCAAGTTGGTATATTCGTGGATGGAAGATTTTCCTGGTATGATTATTAATTTTTTTTTTTATGGAAAGCAAACTCTTTTTTGTGTCTGTGGTGCTCTGTGTTTCTCGAGTAACTGATATTTACAGAATTTGATTAGTTGTATGACGTGCGTGTGTATTTGTTAAAAATAGGCCGGTTTTTTGTCTGTCTGAAAACCCTTTTCTTTTTTTGTTCTCTCTCTCCTTCATATCTTCTTTCCCTCGAAAGAAGAAGGTAGTTCAAGAGTCAATAAGTTCTTCAATTTGATGCTCTTGTTTGCTTTGGTTCCAAAACATGGAGATAGAGAAAGCTGAGTCCTGGTTTGGTTAGCTGTAAGATTCCCCGAGGGGGCTGCTGGTGGGTACTTTTATTTCAATTTTCAGATGATGGATGTCGTTTAGAAATTGATCGTTCTTTTAAATTGCCACGAAATTGTCCGAATTATCTTGTGGTTTTGTTGAAATCTGAGACAAGTGATAGAAAACCACTTCCTTGTTTGCTCTCTGTTGTTCCTTAAAGTGTCTGCATATCTAAAATCTGAACTTGTTTATGTTATAGATAACAATATATTGTCTATATTTTGTAAAAAAGAAAAAACGAAAGGAACTATCTGCACTTTTCCATGATCTCTGCAGCCAGTAAAGTTGGAATTTTTTCTTCCATCTTTGGCCATGTTATTATACTGTTTGATTTCCCCTCTTTTTTCTCTTATGGTTTTTCCTTTTCTTTTCCATATTTCAAGGGTTTCTGTTCCTAAAAATTAGGTCCTTTTAGTATTTACTTTGTTACTTGGGAAACCTCTTATCTAGCTGTCCTCTGGATCTTTCTCATATATTCTTTCAACCCCCACCCCCTCCCTCCCCCCTAATTTCCAGCAAGGTGATTTTGATGACTAATTTTCATTATCTAAATGGCATTACTCTCCTGTTGTAACAGGTTTTGACAGGCAACTTACTACCAATTTGTATGGTGTTTCCCATGTTGTGATTGTAATTGATGTTAGAGAGTTTCAGTGAGGATTAAGCTCCTGAATCATGGAGGGTCCTTGTGAAACACCAGAAAATGGTAAAGTAGCAGATCGCAACCTTCAGATTATTAGGTACTTTCCATTCCAACCCTGCGCCAGATTATCCTTACTCTGGTTTGATTTGAGAGTCTTCTACGTGAGAGTCAGCAATTTTCAAGTTGATGATTCAACTCCAGAGTTTCTAACTCTCAATCATATCCCTCTAAACCCTGACACCCTTTTGGAAGTTAATGGCACTAGATGCGGCATATACTCTGATGGGGTCTCTTTACTCCTTAGAAGGGATCGGGTAGATAAGAAATCAGACGAAGCCACCTTTGTCAGTACAGATAGTATTTGGTTGACAGGAAGTGTGAAATTTGAGGTGTTTGATGGAAAGGATCTCATTCTCTCCGGTGTATTGGAAATGTCTAGTAGTAATGGCTTCATTGAGGAATCAGAAAATAATGTGAAACGATGGAGCATGAATTGTGAATCAGATATCACTGCTGGCAGTGGTTTCCTGAAGAGAAAGCACATCGCTGGTCCTGAATTATCACCACCAACCATTGAGGTTTATGTTGCGGGTTGCTTCTCTGGAACACCAATCATCTTGACCAAAACATTGCAACTTAATTACCGGAAGAAGCATAATAGGAAGGGCATGTTAGATGCAATACCGGAATATGAGACCACTGAATGCCAGAAAGATATGTCACCTGGACTTGATATGCAGGTAACATACTGGACAATTCAGTATTAAGATTTCATTTGTTTTCTGTTCTCGTTAGTGGACTTATTGTGAGGTTACTATGTTTGAACCATGCTAGGTTGCTGCATTCTTAATCTTACATTTTAGCAGCAGATGTTCTATGTATTTAAGGTTGGCCTTTTATAAGCTTTGGTCAAAGTGCCGTGATTTGAAACTCAGTGAAGTTTTTTTATGTTAGTTTCCTCCTTTTTATGGCTGCCAACGTGCTTCCTGTCTTGAAACATGTTTCATTTTTCAGTATGGTCCATCCTTGTCAAGATTTGATGCATGCATTGGGAAATAGAATCTTTATCATATGTGTCATATGAGCGTATGGGCAGTGCACATTTTTCAAGTGAGGGAATATATCCCCCTTCCCTTTTCCATTTGTATAGTTTTCAATGTCATTGTTCTGCCAGATCCTGACGTCTATAGGCCCACTAGTGCCATACTGGGTTGGTGTCATGTAGAGGCCCACCATCTTCTGGCTTTTTCTGGCCATTTTCTTGTTGGAGCACCTCCATTCTCTGCTCTTAAAGAAAAATGTTGTGTTTAGAGAGTTCGTTTCGATATGAATGTTTGATTAAAAGCAACTTGCAGGTCAATTTATGGTCAATGATGTTTATCTATCTTGCATCATAGCTAAGCTTTTATCTGTGATACACACATCAAATTGGAATTGCTTTCCTTGCCTGTAGTTAGACCTTCCTTAGAAAGTATCAATTGATCTTTTCTATTCTTTTGGCTGCTGCCCAGAACTTCCTTTTGCATGAATGGATAGACTGAGCTCTTGTGACCAAGACATTGGTTACATCATCTGAGCATACTATATTTCTCAAATAGTTGGTTTGAGAAAGACCATTCTTTTATAGATTTGAATTATTGGCAACTGTTTCAGCCAAGCTGATATATTCAAAGTAGATATCTTTTTCTTCAATGGCATCTCGTATCCTGGGGAAAATTGAATTGTGTGGAAACCAAGTGGAAGCATTTCATTTAAACTTTAGGTATATTTATTTGTTGTTTTCTCCTTTGCCATCTTCTGGAATAGCTATTGTTTGTCTTAGAGAATGAGAATGAAATATTCTCACTCCTCCTTGATTGATGATCTGTGGCATCAGATCAGAGATTATCTTCATCCCCAAGAATCAGCCTGGCTGGCAGAAGGAAATAGGTAACTTTGAGTGGATGATCTTAAAACCTGGCTGATTCGTACTGAGGATCACCAAGCATTGCTTATTATTTTATTGTGTAGGATATGTTTTGAGAGGGAGAGCAGAAGAGATTAGACGAGAAGGGCAGGGGATCCTTACAATTATAATTTCTGTTAAAAATTGAGTTTTTTAATGGTTTGTTTTGTTTCATGCCGGGCATGCATTTGCTTATCTCTAACTTGTTACATTACTTTGCTTTCGAAGGTAGCGAAATACAGAAACTATAAACAAGAAAATGATGAAGACTACAGCAATATCTACTGGAGGAGGACAGAGTACATAGATGGCGAAGATGGTGAACTCTCATGGTTCAATGCAGGTGTAAGGGTTGGTGTAGGGATTGGTCTTGGCGTTTGTCTTGGCATTGGTATAGGAGTCGGCTTGCTGGTTCGTACATACCAGTCAACCACTAGAAACTTCAAAAGGCGGCTTTTCTAATTCATTTCATCTACCTTGCTAGTACCATCTGCTCCCTTGAAATCCAAAGGCATCTAACACCATCTTGTTCAAAAGGATGCATCTTTAACTGCAGATTTTGACTGAGTAGTTTCCGTGAAGTTAATATTCTTTTTTTTCCCCTGTATTTTCCCTTACTCTGTTGTTAGTTTGTTAGATAGTTTGTTAGCTGCTATTGGGAAAGTAAATGATCGTGAGGCTATATATGTTGGAAATCTGTATGACTTGAGCTTCCCTGTAAATAAATATGTATTGCAGAAAAATGGGGTATGGTCTGTTACATGGGATTTACATGGACCTCCTAACAATGCTTCATTTCTTTGATGTGCATTGATGGAGAAAACCGAATAACTAGACAAAGTCTCTAGTCAAATTCCTCCAGTTCCTTGCCTTCGACGTTGTCTGCATTCTCACAGTTTCTTTGTTCCTTCTCGGCGGATGGTGCCGCCTGCAAACATGAACCCAAATGAACCCAGAACTTGCCAATTCATGCAAATAAGTC